CAGAGAAGGTGGGCCCAGTGCTGAACTGGGCTGATGGAAACCCTCAGTATCTCAGGCATTTGTGACAGTAACTTTTGATACAATGAAAGCCCACACAGGACTGTCAAAGCAGGTCAAAGGTTAAAAAAGGAAAAGAGATTAAGCAGAACAAAATCTCAGGATACAAACTAGACTTTCTCCTATTTTTAAAATACTTTTCAAATGACTATGGGAAACCAACTAATAAACAAGTGCAAGAAGAAACAGGAGATGAACTTCAGTCATTTTGCTGCCTTCAAAACCTTCCAGGGGATAATCAGGAGTGTTCTGCAGTTAATGGCTACTGGCATGTGCAATTCTTTCATCTCTTAGTCTAACACAGCAAATCAGCAGAAGTTGCCCAATATGACTGAGATAACTTTCCTATTTCCACACTGTGTGACAAGTCATTTTAGCAAAAATGTTATATGACATATTCTGCTTACTTATGCCTTTCAGCCAGCAGTTGAATAGTACTACACTGAACTAAGAAACTTAAATTCCACAACTTACATTTTAAATGATATGCATTAATAACTTTCCATTTTGCCTTTGCTGAGAAAAATTACAAGCAAAGCTCTAAGACAATCGCTTTAAAGAACTGCACTGTTCCAAATTCAGATTAAAAGCACTGCTACCTTTTCAAGTGTAACTTTAATCTACACTTTGTAAAGCTCTCAAAGAACAGCAACTTAATAATTCCTCATAACAACAACAGCAGAAGCAATGCACACACCACCTGCCAACCTGTAACCCCATATTATCTACAGTACTGAGAGCTGTCAGGTGAGGCTCAGTTTAAGAGCATTTCCCTGTCAAAGAAGTCATGTTTTATGCATTTAGGAAAGTAAGAGACCAAACTGGTTCTCACAGCAGTGTTTGGGGGCTGGTGCAATGCCTTGCCCCAAGACAAGGTCACTAACAAATGCAGCTCATTATTTAATGCAGTGCCACCACAAGCTACTCATGAAATCAAGCAGCTGTAGGTCTGTGGAAACTGGACAATCACACTTTAAACCTGAAAATACAGAGTAAGACAACACTGCTACACACACTATAAACTTCAACCAAAGCTGGCAAATACTAATCAGCCTTGAATTGTTAACATTATTGTAACAGATGCCATTCTACAAGTAAATTAATGACCATATTCATGATGTCCATGTTCCTTCTTAATGTCTCTACAGCCACATTGGGCAGGGCTCAGATAAGTGGAAATCACTCATTGTTTAACACTAAAGAACCCCACAGGACTTCTTTGAAAAGATATTTGGAACTGGACACTACACAGTAATAGGAAGAGCTAAGGACCAGTGAGTTCTGTATGAGGAGTCCCAGCAAGAGAATCGTCATTCCCACTGTCACCACTTGGAGCCAAGGTAACGTGCAGCAAACAAAGCTGCATCTATTGAAGTGATTTCAAATAACCAGGTGTAAACCAAGTAACTGCAATAATGAAATAAGAATTGCACAAGTTGCCTTCCTTCTGCAATCTGCTCAGGCAGTTATTTATACTGTGCTATGTCAGGAACTCTGTCACACCCAGAGACACGAATACCTGAGATACTCAGACTCCACAGATCCACTCGACACTCACGTGTTTTACAACTTCCTCGTGCTCTTTAACTGGGATTTCAAGATGGTATTTGCACTGTTATTTTAATGTTAGCAGCTACCTGAGGGAGCTTGTCCCTAATTCTGAAGCTGTCCAGCACCAATGATTTCCTGCAGTCAAATTAGTTCAAAAGCTGAGTGTAGTACTGGAACGGTGACACAGAGATGACAGTGACACAGGTTATAATGCCAAACCCAGTCAGTTTGAACTCAGAGAATTTGATCAATAGGACAAAATCAAAACTCAGGGAGCTTGGAACTCGTTTGTAAACTGACACACTACAGACTTCTTAGCTAATGGAAATGACTGAATGACTTTACATCAACACCACTTGCCAGCAAACTATTCCAAATTATTTACACCCAGTTCTATTGGTGTTTATAGTGCCTTCCCTTACAGAGCTAAGGCAGCTCTCCTATTGCATGGACTTCTTGTAAAGTAAATTTTCCTTCAAGTAGCAAATTTCTACATTTTAAGACCTAAGTTTGACATGGATTCCCACCAGTAAAACCTTATCAGTGTTTTTACTGAGCAAATCTTCATATGAAAGTTTAATCTGTAGATAAATGAGCTGCAAATTAACAGATTCTACTACACTTTCAATTTACAGGTAGCAAAATGAAGACATAAAAAAAAAAATCAAATTACTAAGCATAGGGAAATAACTGAAAGTCAGTGGCACAGCTGGAAGTTGAAGTCAGCTAAAGTAAAAGCAGATACATTTTCACAGTAATTTATGAGAAAACTGGCATTACCAAATTAATACAATTGCTCTGGAATTCTAAACTCAGGACCTCAAACTACTTGGCACTAACCTGGTAGGTAAGTTTAAGAACAACCACAGTAGTAGCAACATTTACTTATATAGCAGTAAAACATCAGAAAAGATCACTCAAGTCATTTACCAAATGCCAGCAAGTTCAGTCTAAATACTTCAAGTTTAAGGATCTACTTAGGCCAAACATTTAACTCCTCAAATGATTTCAACTTAGGCCTTGAAGGAAGACAGAACAAAGCAACTTTATTTTACAAGGTCCTCGCAGTGGCAGCAAATGAATTAGATTAAACATACCTGAAAATCCAGATTTCATGTTGCAGTAATAAAACCTTCCTGACTCTACTGACAACTGAGTGAAGTCATAAAGGGCTGTGACATTTTTATTACAGATAAAATGTAATAACTGCATCTGGATGCAGGAGATGGAGCTAGACCTGCCTGTGACCATGGGAATCAATAACCCATCAACCCAGAATAACTGTACGCCAGTTATGCACATTTTCCCCCCTTCTGAGAGAAGAATAAATTAACTTTCCTTCCTGATCAGCATGCTGCAGGACTCTGAAAGGTATTTTAATAGCCCAGAAGTTTACCTACCTGATCTGACATTAATTACAAATCCACCAGTGCCCTGGTTACTCTATCACCAGGTCAGACCACGAACTCCTGCTCAATATGCTTCAAAAATAGACAGGGCACAACACAGAGGAAAGGACATGCTGACTTACCCACTGTAGTGTGTTTTTACTCTGATGAAGTCTTTGTTCAAATCAATTTTTGAGCCCATTCTGCTAGGCATGGTCTGTATTTAGCAGTCTAAATGAAACTATAAATATGTAGAAATAAGTTCATTCAAGACAGATAACTAATTCTGAAGTGAAGAGCTTCACATGTGAAATAGGAGTTTCTGCTCCAGATGACTCTCAATCCAGCTGCATATGAAAAAAAAACCAGAATCTTGATGAATATACACACACTCTGCTAAACAAATGAGTTGCGTCAAATTTTAGAAACACAAATAGCTTTACATGGAACAGCAAGGAATCAAAAAGAAAATGTATAAGACCACTGACCCGCACAGAAATTAAACGAGATTGGTTAAAAATACCCTGTGCAATTTAGTTTTACAGAAATATCCCAAGCGTTTGAGGATGTTTGCTTAAAAAAAAACAACCATCCAACAGCTCCCTCTCGGCCGAAAATACTCCAAGGAAATCTTTACTTATTCATCAACACAGCGTCTGGCTCTTTTCTTCCACAGAACAGAGTAACTAGAAATAGTTTTTATATACATAGAACACTGAAGTCAATTGACGTCGGTTACAAATTCACCCAAGAGAAGCAGGAGGGGAACTCCGCGGGGTAACTTTATCTCACCTTTACGATCGGAAGGTGACAAACATCCTGTTTATTCCAAATTACCGCCTCACACACCTCTGTGTGTTCCCAGACACCTCCCTGACCCCGCTGTCCGGGCGAGCCGGGCCACAGGTACCGGGGAGGGGAGAACCCAGAATTCCAGACCCTCGTGTCCCGGGGGGCTCGGGGGGACACGCGGCCCCTCAGCCCCGGCCTGCGACACCGGGAGGCGACACCGCCGCTCGGGACGAGGCGGCGCCGGCACTTCCCCGGGCACGGCGGGCTGTGCCCGTGCCCGTCCTCTTACCTGCTCCGACCGCGGGGGTCCCGCCCCACGCACCGGGGTGAGCGGGGGCCGCTCCCTGCGCGGCGCTCGGCAACACCTTCCGCGGCCTCAAGTTGCTCAAAGTCCCGCGAGGAAGTTTCGCGGCGGACTTTGCCTCGCTGCCGGCGGGGCCCCGGCGGGGAGCAGCGGCGGCAGAGCACCCGGAGCCCCTCAGGGTTCCCTCTCAGGTCCCCCCTCAGAGCCCCTCCGGTAGCCCCCGTCCCCCCCCAGCCGCGGTCCCGCCTCAGCGCCCCGCGCCCACCCCCGCCCGCGGCAACATGGCGGCCTGAGGGCGGGAGCGGCGGCCAATGGGGAGCCAATCCCCGCCCGCGTCCCGCCCCCCCGCCGCCAATCGCGGCGCGGGAACCGTTACCTGGGGAGACCGGAGCGTCCCGGCCAACCAGAGCCCGCGGGGGGAACACCTGCGGCCAATGGGAGCGCGGCGCGGCAGGGAGGGGCCGTGAGGGGACAGGGCTGAGGGGACAGGGCTGAGGGGACAGTGAGGGGACAGGGCTGAGGGGACAGTCAGAGAAGACGGGGCTGAGGGGGCAGTGAGGGGGGACAGGGCTGAGGGGACAGTGAGTGGGACAGAGGTGAGAGGGGACAGGGCTGAGGGGACAGTGAGTGGGACAGGTGAGAGGGGACAGGGCTGAGGGGACAGGGCAGAGGGGACAGTAAGGGGAGACAGGGCTGAGGGGGCAGTGAGGGGGGACAAGTGAGTGGACAGTGCTGAGGGGACAGTGAGGGGGGTCAAGTGTGAGGGGACAGTAAGGAGGGAGAGGTGTGAGGGGACAGAGGGAGGGAGACAGATGTGAGGGGACAGGTGAGAGGTGTGAGGGGACAGGTGACAGATGGGGGGACAGTGCTGAGGGGACAGGTGACAGATGGGGGGACAGTGCTGAGGGGACAGGTAAGAGCTGTGAGGGGACAGGTGAGAGGTGTGAGGGGACAGGTGACAGATGGAGGGACAGTGCTGAGGGGACAGGTAAGAGCTGTGAGGGGACAGGCCCTGTGTGCCCCCCCAGGCTGTCAGAGCTGCTTCCCTGGAGGTCTCCCAGAAGCCCAGCAGTGGGATGCACTGTGAGCGCCCATCCAGCACCTGCCAGCGGTGGGAACAGGGAAACCGCAGCCAAGGTTATCATAAAGAGGTAATAAAATAACAGTATTAGAGTGGCCATAGCAGAGGGAGAGAGAAAAGCAGCAGAGTTGTTGTATTGGTGCTGTTGGAGTACCCACAGTCTCACAAGAGCCAGTCTGTGACGTGGTTAATGCCCTTTGCTTTGTAAAGCTGGGTTTGGGTGTTTTTCCCTAATGCTCCTTTGATCTTTCGCTTCCAAACCGTGAATCCTCTGTGACTGAAGCAGGGACATCTCCTGTGTGCAGGAGATCAGAGCTTTGACTGTTCCTCTGCTGAAGGCTGGGATGGTGAACTCAGAGAGTCCTCTAGTGGAAATGCTGCTTGTCCTGCCCTGATTTCCTTGTGTAATTTAAAACTTTTCCAGGCAAATAAGCTATCCAAGAGAAAGGTTTTCTTTGGGGCCTTTCTCAATCTGTTCATATCCACCTTTGGGCAACACAACCCACCACATTTGAAAAATAAACCAAAAGAAGGAGTCACAACTATTAGATTTATTGTGGCTACCTGGAGTTGAGCTGTCATAATTGGTATTTTGAAATGGAAAAAAATCAATCCTTAGTCTCAAGTTCTTTTCAGGCCCCATTGAGCACTTTCTCAGTATCTCTCTGGGCTCCGGGGTGTGTATGTGTTGAGTTTGCAGCACTGTAGCTCTGAGCCTCCTTTTGGTGTTTCTGCAATCTTCCAAAACACAAATAAATAATAGTTGACATTAGTTTAAGTAGAAGTAAAGTGGGAAAATTAATTCCCATCAGTCGAGATGTTTTCTCTGACACCAGGGAAGTGCACCAAATGGTTTCATTTATCAGTCTTCAATCTGAATTATTTGTGTAGCCTCTGCTAATTTTATCTTAGTGGGAACTGTCAATATGGTTTCAAAGTTGGCCCTTAAATCTTCACGTGTTCCAAATTTCTCTGCTTAAAGTGGAGAACATTATGTAAGATATATCTATAAACATAATTATTTCAGGTCAAGCTACACTTTGATCTCCAGCTCTTTGAGCTGTTGGATTCAGCTCCTTGAACTGTTGGATTGGGAGATAAAAGGTTCTTCAGAACTGTGATTTGAGGTTCTGTGGGGTTTATTCCTGGTTGTTCTGGGTTTTTTTTCCAGCACAACTTACCAAGGAGAAAAGCTTAGGTGCATTTTCAGTGCTTGATGAAAATCTGAACCATAATATTTTTACATCTTGCAGAGGTATTTTGCAGTTGTTCTCTTAGTACTCATGCTGTTATTTTAGAAGTCTTATTTTCGGTTGGTTTATGTTTTCTTATATTACAAAATTGTTTAAACAGTTGAATTTCCTAATAGATGCTTCTCACTTCTGGGCAGATGGTGTTTTTTGGAGAGGATGTTGGCTTTACTTTGTGCTCTAGCTAACAAGGTTATAACTGGTTTGAAAACACAACAAGCTGTAAATCCTGAGTGTATTCCTCAGCATTTTTTTTCCCAGATGGCAGGCATTGCACTTTTGTTTTCTATTAAGCCATCCTCACCTTAATGAAAAGTTGTAGTGTTGCTGCCTACTACACCTAGATTTGAAGAGCTGACAGGCTCCTATAGGTAATTTAATTTTATTCCAGGTTTAAATTAGATATTTACTGCATCTAAAATTTTAGTTCATTTAAAAATTATTGTTATTGTTATCTCTTGAGATCAGATCTTTTATTCTGAAGAGCAGACTGTGAAATGAACTGATGTGTTTGAGAAAGAGAAAGCTTAAAAAAAGAGGGTTTTTTTCAAATATTCCAGTTCTGTTTTGAAAATAAGTCTATAATTCTACATTCAACCTCAGCACCCAATCATGGCACAGATTCATCGTGCCAGTGGAGAAGGTGATTTATTAAGGAATCACCTCAATCATCAGGAATCTGCTGTTGGTGTTTCAGCTGCTGGGAGCCTGAGTTTGCTCCTTCTGGAATTGTGGTTTTGACTAAAAGTTAGGAACATCCCTGGTGCTGCTTCCCAGCCATTCTTCATTATTTCGTGGCACTCCTGGCTCTGGCAGGAACTTTGAGGCTGAATTCCTTCAAGGATGTACATCTGCACGTTTCCAGCAGATGGCAAGAGATTCCCAGGCAACTCTCTGGGAACCACAGTTGTACAGACAAAGCTTCCAAGTCCCAGTTCTTTATTTCAGTGCTGCTGAGCACTGTCCTTTAAAAATCAGTTTAAAGGGAAAGAAATATGATAGCATTAATCCAAAGTACTGCCTGAGCCAGGAGACACAAAGTACTTGCCTATTTCTGACCAGGCTGACCAAAAACCTCCTTTTCTCCCTCCTAAATGCCCCAAGAAGAATCATTATGGCAACCAATTCTTAAAGACAATTGTTGAGAAAAAGGGCCAATCAGTACTAGTTTCACCTCAGTTCAGTGGGAATGACTTCGGGCCAAATGCCATGAAGTTTGGGTGAAAATAATAAGGCAAAGCATTCATATATTTTAACATAAACTGGAGTAAAGCATATATCCTACATAACATCAGAAATCACCATGGTAATTCTTAGTAGATTTTCTTGCTGGCTTGAATATTAGTGTTTTTCCAGCCCATGTTAAAATAGACAAAATGAATAATGTTTCAAGACTATTTTAAGCCAACACCTCCCTTACTTGTCTGTCTTATATAAGATAGAAGCAACCAGAAGTTAACTCACTTGTTGACACCTCATTAGCCAGGAAGATAAAGAATTCTATGAGTAGCCCAAGCTACATATCTTTAAAAGCAAATAAAACCAAACCTCTGTGGTTTTGTGGTTTTTTTTTTTCCAGGATATTTAAACAACCTTTTCAATTTAACAATACTATATACACTGTAATTTATAAAAAAATTATAGATCCCTCCTGTCTTTTCTATATATGCACATACAAGCTTGTATTTGTAAAAGTTGCACCCACAAAGGCGAGGGTAGGATAATCTTAAATATGTCTGTAAAAACATAGTAAGTTTAAGATGTACAGAAATAGATCTTTTGTATTAGTCTGAAGCTGAAAGAATCGTAGCAATAAAGGAAGAACAGGCTGGATGGAGCATTATAGCAGATGTTTTACAGATTACTCTGTATTTCATCCCTCAGCCTTTGTTTAATCTTAAGGCTGTAGTAATTGTAGTGCTGGAATAGCTCAATGGCCTATATATTATTTTGCTACTTCCAGCTATGCCTGTTCCAGTTGCCAAAGCTGGCCAGTTATCCCTTCCTGTGGAATGAAAAACCTTCTCCCTGCCCCAGCTGGTGACCCCGTGAATGAACACTGAGAGTTTGGTGACACTTGTGCTGCTCTCCCCCAGATACTCACCCAAGGAGCAGATAATGCACCCTGGGTTTGTTAGTAACTTATGTTACCCACTGACTGTGGTAAAGATGTTTGGACCAAAATAATGGAGAAGAGTTTCCTTCAGAGTGTGGAGAATTTGAGGACTGACTCAAACTATCTTTTTTTGCATGTAAGGGTTTGCAGAGTGCAGTGCAAGAGAATGGAACAGGGAGACTGTTTGTGTGGGAGGGTGCTGGGTAACTATCACAGGGCTGAGTTTCTTGCCTTTTATGTAACACTCCTTGGAAGGTACAAAGGTTTGTAAATGAGGACTTTCAGTCTCACTGGTTTTCATACCTGTGGGACAAGATTATATTGGTTTTGGCTAATATGTCCTTGTGCCAAAGAGAACGAAAATTTCCTCTTTTTTTCCCCTTTTCAAGTGGGGAAAAAAAGAGAAAGAGAACTGAGGATCAAGTGAAGTTGAAGTACTGCGAGAGTTAAAGAAAGGGATACGTTTCCAGAGGTTTCTGGTGTCTCAGAAATGAGGGATATTTGGGTTTATTTTTTTGGACCAATCTTTTCATGGAACAATGAACTCCCAATAACATCCGATTAGTCCTGTTGGTGCTATATTTTGTGACAGCCTGGGCTTGACTGTCCTCTCAGATTTGTTTTTGCTCTGCAGGAGTTTGCAAAAGGCACAGCAGTGACACAAAGCTGGTCCAAGGAGGGAGCAGATTCCTTGTGCCTTACATAATGAGGGGCTTAAAGCTCCAATTCATCTCATTTAGGACACAGTGCCTTCCTCATCTCAGCTACCAAATCCACCCAAAACCACGTTTGTTGCCAAATTTTTATTCAGTTTTCATTAAGAACAATTAGCTGTGTCTGTAACATATATTGCACGCAGTGTTATTTTAGTATCCAACAGGCTTTCAACCATTGCAAGTGGTTTGAGCTGCTATAATAAAGGAGGGAGTTGCCTCAGATTTTTTTCTTTAAACAAAAATATTCTCAGAAACTTTCAATAAGCTTTTTGTTATCTGTTCTGCTTCAGAGACGAACATTCAGGGTGCTGTTTTCCTCCTGATGGGAAGTGCTTTTTTAGGTTAACGACTGGGAGTATTTCAAACCAGAGCAATCCTATTAAGTGTTTTGTTGTCCCAACAGCAGAAGCCTCACTGAGTTAAATTGGTTTCGCTACATTATCTATTGGATTAGCAAACCAGTTAGGAACTGATGGGAGAGCTTTTCCTTTAAGTGGGATAAATGCTCTCATTGCTACCCAGACACAGGACAGACATCCTGTATTTTAACCTCTTAATAGTGCTCTCACTGCCAGCATTACTTTCAAACAAATCAGGGAATGTCTTGCTCTTCTTCATCTTTCATCTCGTGCTTTCTGATTCCTTCCAGCCTCTTGGGGCAGCAGCCGCCCTTTCTGCCATCAGTACAGCACTTTGCAGAAGTGCCCCCCAGAAGCTCTCCTGAGCACACAGCGGCACTTCCTCCTCTGCTGCCGAGGCCAGGGGAGAGTTTTCCAAGCCCTTGGGCCCTGAACAGGCAGGATGTCATTATGGGATGAAATCTCGGGGGTTATTTTGATTTGCCTTTCTAATGCTTTTCATCTTCCAGTTCAATAGTTGGAATGTCTGTTTTGGCAGTTTACAGAAGCTCCAATTTCTGTATATGTACATTTTATTAACACTTCACATTTAGAATGATTACATTAACACATAGCCCACTCCTTTTCTCACAGACACGCCAGTCCATAGAGCAGAACTATAAATTGCTGAAAGGAACACAAATGCTTTCAGGTGCCTTCTGATCTGTCACATACTTTTTTTTATGACCCTAGTAAAACCCATCCAAAGTCAGCATTCAACTGACATCAGATTTGGCTTATTAACTTTATTAAGGGCATCATGAAATTAGAGTTGAATAGGGAATTGCCTTTAGATGTTAATAGATCTAAAGTAGTAATGTCTGAAGATTTTTAAATATGATGATTTTAAATGAAAAAAAATATAGAAGATTCAAATTTATGCAAAGCTCCAATCAATTCACCATACTCCTGTACTGAAATGTCTCCTTAAAAGTTTGAATGGCATCTGAGTTTTCTGTTTCTGGCTCTGGAAACAGATTTAAGAAAATCCCACTCTTGGTGAGGGAGGTGTTTTGTTTTGTGCTACTCATGCCAGTGCAGAACCAGTACCCAAAATCCTGTTCTCCCCTCTGACTGCCTCGTTCCTGGGATGGACACGTTGCCATCTGTGGCTCCCAGGGCACTTTCCTGACTGCCTGCAACCTCCTGGGGTATTTCTGTCCTCTCGTTTGTGCTTCTGTGTGCATCATTGGGGTAGTCTGGCATTCTGGCTTTGGGGTTTTCTGAGGAGATCACTGCCACCTCTGCCTTTGATCAGTCACACTGAGCTGTGCACCTTGAAGATCTGCAGTGAAAGTACAAAAAAACCTCCCTGAATAAATCTTCTGGAGCAGTCAGCAGGACATGCAGCCTGTGACTGTCTCCCAGATGGAGAAGCAACTAATTTTGTCCAATAACCCCATGTGATCAGTCAGTTGGCTGCAGTGTAAGGAGTTATGTCAGGTGTACAATTACAAACTATTACTGCAGAAGTAATTAGATTAGACATTGCCTTTATAATATCTGCAGCCACCTTCTTGCTAATTACTCCAAATAACCAGCCACTGCTCACTGGAGGGACTAGGGCCAGGCTTTGCTCTCTGCTCTTTAATAACTTTAATTCCAAAATCATGGATTCTTTTCCTATGATTTCCACTCTGCAGGAACTTGCTGTGAATATTTCCTCAGCTGGATTCAGTCAATAACTTCACTCTTAGCAGAAGACACTGACCCTGACAGGCAACATAATAAACTAATAGCTGGAGAAACCAGCAGGGTACAGAAGGGCTGGACTTAAACTGAAGATTATTTCTGATTTATGCAAGTGTAACAGAGAACCATGAGGTCCTCTGGCCTTTCTGAAGGGTGTAGGACTGTTGTGGGGATGGATCAGGGACAAAGCAACGAAGGCATGGTAAAGTCATGCTTCTGCTGGTTTTATTCCACTCTGCACTTAATCATTATATAAAACAGTAAGAATGATTCAGAAGGGAGCCAGAGAGGTTGAATTTCTTGGGGGAGAAAGTGATTATGACCAAAAACACACTTAGGGGAAAAAAAATAGTGTATTTCTGTAATGTAGCATTGCATCAACATCAGGAACAAACAGCGAGAAAAATAAATTAGAAAGAGGAGAAGCAGGAGGGAAAAAAGAAACCTGATTACCTGATTCTTGAAGGAGATCCATATTTCCATTAGTGTTCTGGATAAGGTGGAAGTTGAGTGATACTCTGCTTTAATTCAGTATGTGAGAGTCTCAGAAACTGTGGCAAATACCACCACGGAAGCACCGGTTGGATGCACTTACCCATTTGGAGGATGAGAGTTTCTGCCTCTCCTGAAGGGTTTGTCTTCTGTAAAACTCAAAGAAATCAGCATCATTAAAGCAATTTTGGAGATGATGCAGTGCAGGATCTTAACTGGGGTTCCCCAGCGAGTCAGTGGGGAGATCCTGGAGCAGAATCCGGGTGTCTCAGTCCAGGGTTGGCTCGGGAAGGACTCTGTGGAACAGTTACAGCTTGATGGCAGTTGGGGCTTTCCAGCACACTGTTGGCTGACGGCTTTTCCATGATAACAGAAACTAAACATGGAGGTGAACCTAAACCTGACTTACAGTGGGGCATATTTGCTGTTACAGCTCAGTTCAAGATCATTGGTTTTTCTTCAAAGCATTCTCTTACTTCACTGATACTGAACAAATCTTACTCTCCCTTCCATGGCAGATTTCAGCCCCTTGCTTTGCCTCCTTCTTTCCCTCTCTCTCTCATTTAATATTTGCTTTTGTGTCAGTCTCTATATTTAAAAACAACCTCTCACTTTCAAGGCAACAAAATCTTCAAAATAAATTTCCCTTTTGTAGCGTCTCCCATTGGCTTCCCACACGAACAATATTTCAGTGGGTTTAATCCATATTCCAATATATTTACTGTGGAGATTTTAGAGATTAGTTGTGGAGCTTGTTTGTTGTGAATACTGTGTTCATTTGCTGAGTTCACTGGAATTATTTACAGAACAAAGTGCTATTTTGCATGAGTTGGGCAAGAGGATCTAGTCCTGACTTAGGGACTGTGTATGAGGACCTACAGATTTCCCTGTTGAGTAAGGGAAGAGAAGAGCCCTAATGGATCAGGTCAGCCTGGAACAAAAATGGCAAAAATATCCAAAGCAACCGAGTAACTTGAAGCCAGTTATGAATTCTTTTCTGTACTTCATTCAGCTATTGAGAGACAGATTCAAAAAGGATATTTTCAGAGGCACACATGGTAGAATCTCACTGACAATCAACAGAACAAATTCTAAAGTCCTTCCTGAAAATGGAGTCAGAGTTTATTCCTTATGAAGCACCTTTAAATTTTTTCCCAATCCAACATAGGAAGCCTGAGCTTTCCCTCTGTTTCTAAATCATTTTTGTATGTTTGGGACCTATTAAACTAATAAACATTTCTGTGTTTAAGTGTTTCGACTTTCATTAGCTTAGATCTGAAATGTAATACAGTCATTATTAACAATTCAGTAGAATTTGATGTAGTATATTTTATTTCATGCTGTGACTAAGAGCACTGAATTTTTTCAATATTTTATCCAAGACAAATAATATTTTAAGAAAAACCTCCACTCCCCTCTATTCCTTTTTACTTTGTTCATGAGATTTTTCTAATTAAAAACTCCAACTTTCCCACTACTGTTAAACCTAGACCATCCCACAGAAGGCCAGAGGCAGAAAATCACTCATGTGCAGAAGTGAGGAATTAACTCTTTCGTTACAAAAAAGGTAATTATCTGAGTGTGAAAAGCCAAATCTTCATTACTGATCAACCCTTAAAGGGGAGGAAAACCGTGGTCATTTAAGAGTTAAACTTTTGCTACAAATATGTACATATGAAAAATCGTCTCATGGTATTGGAGGAAGGAAGGAGCTGGGATGGTCTGGCACAGCACAGTTCTCACTGTATCAAATAATTGCTGCTTTTTTTGGGAATTCATAGCAGGACTTCCTTGACTTTAGAAGTGTCTTGAGCTCGTTGGAAAATATTTTGAGAAGAAATGGCTCGATTCAGTCTCAGCAAGGGCTCCTCAATCCGGGGGTGTTGTTGAGTTTGTAGCTCTGGCCACGACTGTCCCTGATTTGGGGTTTTTACATGGTGTAAGCGACCCAGTAGATGACATTGACTGCTGCAAAGGCTGCTGGGAACACGGCTCGGGCGTAAATGTCGATGGTGTCGGCGTCGATGGGCTTGAACAGGGACTTCAGGCCAGTCTTTTTATCCAGTTTGATCCCTGCCTGCTGCTTGGTCTCTCCAGTTTCTATTTCTATTGTGCCATACGAGCCGGGCAGGCTCCTGGGAATTCGGTGCTGCCTGTTGGAAATGGCCAGTTCCTGGTTCACACCGGCTATGGAAAGGGAAAACAGAACAATGGCATTCTTCACGTTGATCTGCAAGGGAAAGAGGAGAATAATGGAGTTTCTGCCTCTCCTGAAGGGTTTTTTTTTCTGTAAAATTCAAAGACACAGGTAAGAAATCAGCATCATCCCAGGAATTTCGCAGAGGAGGCCTCAGGAACCGGGATTCCCCGGGGAATACAGGGCAAAGGCAGTGCCAGGCCATGCTGCAGGGGCACTGCTGTGCCAAAGTCACTCCCATCCCACACTCACTGACCTCTGCACTCTGCCTCCTCGCCTTGATCTTGTTCTTCTGCTTTTTCATGTAGTCAGCGTTGAAGTGAGCGAAGGCGTATTCCACCAGCGCCGCGAACACGAACACGTAACAGATCCAGAAATAAACGTCCAGGGCCTTGATGGCAGAGGCTCGAGGGAGGGAGGAGCGGGCACTGACCATCAGCGTGGTCATGGTGAGGACTGTGGTTATTCCTGCAGGGAGCAGGAGAGAAAATGGATTTACTGATGTATTATGCATGGAGACTTTTACTAATCTGAAGCTGAGGATATTTTCACAGTACAAATACTGTGGCTCCTGATTTCCAAATCAGAGAAGCTTGTAAAAAACTGCATTTGTATAAGGCAGCTTTGAACAAATTATCCTTGGTTTTGTTCTAGATCAGGACAAACCAAACCCAAAGACTTAACCCTCAAATGCTTTTACATCTGGACTGGCAACCCTTACTCAGACAAACAGATCCACAAGCACCAGGAATATTTTTTGCTACTGTCCCAGTTCCTTCAAATGAGTTCTTTCATGGATCTGCCTCACAGTCATTACTGCTTTTAACCCTCTTTAGGGGGTTATTTGCTGTTCTTTCCCGAGGCAGCTGCTCTGATAACATGACAGAAATTAAAACAGGAGGGAAGCCTTCTAAAGGACCATCTCTTCTGCAAAAGTAAACGGAGTGGTCATAAATGCACCTTCGTGGAAAATAAGGATTATTAGAGAGCAGAATTCCAACCTGAGCATTGCCTGCCCTGCCAGTCCCCCAAGCCCCTGCTTTACCTAAGGACACCCTGGCAGGCACAGCTGACTGGCTGATCCAGAAGGACACCCAGGACATGGCCACCAGGAGGATGGAGGGGACGTAGGACTGGATGATGTAAACTCCTCGATTCCGCCGCAGGTGGAAGTGGAGACTGAGCCTGGGAAACTGCCCTGCTGGAAAAAAGAGCAGGCAGAGAAGACTCTGGCTGCGTGAATTACAGTCAAACTGATACTCAAAATGACATTTCTATAATGACACAGAGCTGGGACAGCTTTTGGACAGGGATCACAGAACGCTCTCCTGAGTGGTGTTCGATCAGTCCCCATAAACCCTGCACGAGGTGCTGCAGCTTCATCAGCTAAGAATAGGTCAAATGATCTGTCTCAGGTCATATCAATGCCAGATCTGAAAATAAAATCATGAGTCTTCTCAAATAACAGTATTGCTTCAAAATGTGTACTGTCTTATCATCTGCTGTAGAAAGTCCTCCAGATACTAAATTTAGATTTTTTAAAAGGCCAAGTTAATTTCAAACTCAAAAAAGAGCTTAGAGGAGATGTGCAGCATAAATGAGAATCTGAATACATGAAAGAGGATGAAAAATCAGCAGGAAAGAAATGACTCCAATCTTGTACAAACATTGCAATAAGCCCAGTGATAGACATACACACCACTGACTTCTACTGGGTAGAATTAGACTGATCTGACTGTACGTCATAAGCTTCATAACATCAGGGCTAATGGAAATTTTTCTTGATCTGAAGTCGCAAATTAGGTCAAGAAAATGTGAGCTATACCTCAAGTGTTCTTTATCAAGTGCTGTCTGGTTACTCCACACAATGTTTTGTCAGGCAGACAGAGCTGAAGGACATAACATGCTACAGTGGCTACCTGGAGGCTCAGCAAAGGATGGCACTTTTCACAAGGGTAAGCTGAAGAAAACTCTTATCAGACACCTGATAGGTTCTTAAATTAGTTACCTAAGAAGAAGGATTTCCTGTTATAGATACAGGAGGTTTCCCTGTGCTGGAAAAAGTCCCTGAACTGAGGAGAGATTCTGTTACCAGATTTGAAGTTCATAATTTCTGTGGTGAACTGGTAGTTGGTGATGGTGAACTGGGCGAGCTGCAGCTTGTCCAGCCCATGAATCTCCTCCTGGTTCTCTGACCAGTGGTACACGATGTCCTCCGAGGAGTAACCATCTGCCAAAAGAAAGCTGAATAAACAACAAGTTTGAGGCAGAAATGAAGAGCTTAGAGGACTCCCAGTGGAAGTTCTCTAACTCCTGCTATGCTGAATTCCATCAGACCCATTGCTGGGATTCAGCCTGGATAATTCTGCCTGGGAGAGATGCAGGGCACCAGGGACATGACAGAGGGGAGAGGTGTGTGAGGGGATTTTTGTGAGATGCAGGCAATCAATCTTTGCTAGTGTTGCTGTTAGTGGACAGCTTGCTCCTAGAGCATTCATTTGTTTAAAGAGGATGTTTGCTTCACTGAAATCAAACCCCTCCAATTCAATTCAAACATTCAACCCCCCCAAAAAAACTCCCTGCAGAACTTGCTGGGAGAGAGAAGGGATTGCTGGGGCACTGCCTGCTGCCTCTGCACTTGCTGATTACATAAGTAAAACTGGAGATTGCTATTTTTGACAGGACAAAGTGGTATTGTGGCTAATTGCCTAGAAAACAAAGTCGGTGCTAAAAAAGAAAAAGAGAAACTGGCATTAACAGGCCAGGGGATCTGCTCAAAAACTGCTGCTCCCAAATCTCTGGAGCCCTCAGGACCTGTAGGCTCCTTGATCTAAAAACCAGATTCATTGCCACCAACCGGGTGGCCCCAGCTTGTGTCTGTGGTGGTTTTCATTCAGAAGTATTAATGCTCATGGGGTTTACATGCTGATCAGAGATAAACTACAGGTTGGACAAAATATAAACTCATTCTCCACCCTCCTTTGTGAGTGCAAAGGAATTAAGGCAATCCATGCAGTATTCTGATGGATTTCTGGGTCACGGATACAGGAATGCCAAGGCAAGCTTAACAGCTCTATAAAGGTTAATCACAATGGCTTTCATTAAAAGCAGGGAATTCTTTCTTTTTCCTTCTTCTTATAAAGAAAACACAGCACATCAAATTTTGCCTGTGGGCTTCTCTACTTGTTCTCCCTGGATTTGATGCAAAGCTCTGTAATGCCAGTGACTGTCACAACTGCACGAGGTTTCACATCAAGCTCAGAGTTCCAGACATTTGTAACAGGACTGTTCATTGTTCATCATCACTACATTAAATCCTAGAGTTTAGGATTGGGCCAGAGCTGATCTGGCATTGAAAAGTCCATTGTGTAATGCCCAGCACAGGCAGTGAAGGGATTCCTGTTTGTTCTGAACCTCAAGGCACCCCTTACATTTCATTACCCAAAGCAGAACCATCCCAGCTCACTCCAGTGTCCCAGTCCCATCTGCCCAGGCTTTACAGAAGACACAGGTGTACTCAGCCCTTACAGCTCTCCAAATCCAACATGCACTCCTGCTCGTCCATGGGGTACTTGGACAGGTCCATGTCACAGGCCACTGTTGAGGTAATCCTGTTCCAGGCAACGGGAACACCAGTTAGTCACATTCAGACAGAGCTTTTTCCTCTGAACTCAAAACACCAAATGGAAAACTTTGAAACCTTTAGGCAACGAAGGGAATTCTTTTCAAAGCCCTTGTGGCTGTTGCCTTTACTGAGTCTGTGGGAAACCCAAGGGCAGGGAACTGAAGAAAAGTCAAATGACTTTAATGTCAGAGGACACTTCAGCTACTTCTCACAATGAAAAGGAATTTTCTGATTCCATCTACCACCTTTCACTGTCCCCAAGATTTCTACCAATACCTTAATGGGAATTTTGGGCTTACAATTTCAAAGGCACACATTCATTATTTTCTAGAACATTACACAATTAACTTCCAGTACAGTCACTGAGCTCCAGCCACAGCACTCTTCCAAGGTGAGGAAATGACACTTTCTCTGTCTGAGAGATGGGGAAGTTGAGCCTAAATCAGTCTCATAGTTCCCTTGGAAAACAGTGAAATAGAAAAGAGAATAGGAAAATAGAGAGTGGAGAACAGAATCTTTGCCAAACAGCTCTGAGACACTTGGAGGACATTCCGAACATGGCTGGTGACTCTGCACTGCACAATGTGTCAGTGTTGCCAAAGAGACCTTCCTGGCAGTGTCATCCTTGGAAAGCAAAGGGGTCTCTGACAGGAGATTTTCTTCCATATTAAATTAACAACTATTTTATGAAACCATCCTAGGAAAACAGTGGTTACTCCACAGTCTGTTCCAGAAGTTAGCACACAACAGAGAACACTTGCTCTCTTTCTCACTCACCTGATGCTGTATAAAATGACTCCATCTGGCTGGAGCCTGATAAGTTTGTTTTCCACAGTCACATCATGGAACCAGGCAGACTTGGCATTGACTATGAAAGTATCTGGCAACCAGAGCTTGTCCACAAACCTGCTGTCTAAGCCCAGAGTCTCGTTGGTGTGGTTGTAAGACAGACGGTCGTCTCGCCAGCTCTGGTGCAAAAACACTGTCATGGTGTATTCCTGTGACAGGAGAAAGCCCAAGTAAGAAGTGATGCTGAACAAACACAGTGGTAATGTCTTGGGACTTGGCCAAAAAACATTGTATTAGCCTGGAATTATCTGCTTCCAGTGCAAATAAGTATTTTTATACTCAGTCAACCAGAGAGCTGCCCAAGCATTTGAATTTCTGTCATGCTTCTACCAGGGATAAACTCAAATTATCAAAAAGTGGTTCAACATCAGTGTTACATGCAATATGTTGCTAGAGTCGTGTATGTCTCAAAAAAGAACAGTACAACTTTTGGTTTTGAACATTTTTTAGAGCAAAACTGAAGACTCTGATACCGTACCATGTTCACCTCTGAGATGTGGTCAATGCTGGCTACTTCGATGGCCAGAGCAACGTTAACGGGGGGACCTGGGGAAAAGGGTTGAATGGGGTCATTGACATCATCAAAGGACCTACAAAAATATAAATGACCCAAGATTTCAATTCTTTCAGAGAGTTCACAAAAGTGTTTTCCATTATAAAGTACACTCTCCAAGTAAAACCTACCCTAAAGCTAGAGATTCAAATCTTTTACTGATTTTTACCTCAATTTCCAACCTCACTTCTGTGATAAAGGGCACGAGATACAATCACAGCTACTGAAAATTATGGAATCCTTTCTGGAAATCACACTACCAAGTTCAAGACAGCATGACTTCAAGCAGTGCAGGAATTATCACCATTTAATACAATACAAAATTCCTTCAACTTATATGTCAGTGATTTAAGAACTATATCAGAAGCCTGTGTTGCTGTTGGACAGTCTGTCTCCTATCAAAACCATCCAAACTGTTGATGGTTATTTTTTCCCAGTATCCAAGTAAAAGATAATCATAACCTTTTAATCATGTAAAGGATGAAGTTCACACGAGCATCAGAGGGTAGAGGGATTGTAAGAACAAAAGAGGCATTATTGTCCAAGCCTCACCTCCAATGCCAGGCCTGAAATTCCGTGCGTAGCCTTTCATTAAATCATCCAGGTTGGGCAGCCAGGAGATTTCAATGTTGGAACCAATGTAGTCTCCGATGTCACTCATAGCTCTGGGGAAAGGAAAGAAGTGTCCTTTGAAACTTGCCCATGTTTACAAACAGAAAACCAACAGAAAATGGAAGAGTGACTTCTCTCACACCAGAGACCACATATGGTATAATCAGCTATGCTGGAAATTTACTGAGAAAATACTGTATACAGGTAGGAAAACAATTTCATATATTTCTGTTTAAATCAAAACATACTCAGGCCAGACTGTGGCCTCTTTCTGAATTACAAGTACATACTTTTGGAAGTTTTCTCCTTTTTTAAAAAAAGTAGGAAAAATAGATTTAGAAGCTTAGAGCAAACGTGAGGGAAACCAAGACACTTTGTGTGCTGCCTAAAATGCATCTGTGGCTGCTGGAATTCAGCTGTGCCAGCTCCCAGTGAACCGTGGAACAGCTGAGCTCGGGGAGGCTGGGGGACTGTCAAATGGGAGGGGAACACAGCAGGAACTGCACATCTGGAACCAGGGGAACAGGCAGCAGGCTTTGGCCGGGAGGTGCTGTGTTGCTGTGGGGTTTGTGCTCACGCCTCAGCCCCCTCCCAGCACCACCAGCTCTCAGCTGCCAGGCAGGTGAACCTTGCTGGTCCAGTGCTGCTCCTGCAAGACTTTAGCCCAGGTTCTTGTTGCCATTTTCCACCTCCTGGCAGCCCCTCAGCCCTGGTCCAAGCAGTTATGTGGATATTCCACTGTCTCTTACAGAGGCAAGATTATCTTGTCTCCATTATCTGTTTAAAGTGATCTGGCAGACTTCATCTGCAGCTCTGTGCCTGCTCACTCCGCTCCTCTCGCCAGCACCGTGACTGACAGCACAGGGAGGGAGAAACGAGGGGCTGGGACAACATCTGTCACAACTGTTTGCAAAGACAAGAATTGCCAGTGGTTTGAGAGGGCCTGAGTGCAAGTACTGCATCCAAGCTGCCTGAGCACTGGCTCAGCACCTTCCACCCAGCCCAGCAATAAATGTGGCATTTGAGGGATACACCTGATAACAGGAGAGGAACTGGCTGAGCACCCCTGGGGGGCTGCAGGGGAGACACCACAAACACCCTGCCTTGGCACTCACACAACTCGGGCTGTTCATGTGACAACGACCCGCATAAAGCACATGGGTTTTCTCCCCAAAATATGCCAGCCTGGGCACTCAGCTCAGCACAGGAGCAGAGTCTCCTGCAGTGCCCAACTCCTCCTCCCACAGGGGACTGAGAGGAAAATCTTCAATTGCCCTGGTCAGAAAATTCTTGTCTCGTGTACGGAGTCAATTATATAAGGAAGGAGTTCTGGGATTACAATGTACAAATGCAAGTTCTGAGCAGCAGAGACACTGAAAGCTTGCATTAGTGGAGCTGTCAAAGCTGGTGAGACCTTACAGCACAGGGACACTGCTCCAAGGGAAACTTCATTACTTCCCAGCAAAATGTTATATTAAATTGCATTCATAATATTTCCTTGCCATGAGCACAGTGCTGTGTGTTCATCTCAAATGACTCTCCCAGGCACTTCTCAGGTTCCTCTAACTCTTCTGAGTAAGGATCAGAGCCACGTTTTCTGCTGCATAAATTGGAATAACATAATTGATTTAGACAAGGGCTTTGAAGATTTATAACAAATGTTGACAGAGGTTCTTTCCTTCTTTATTGGGTCTCATCAACTGTATCAACACTTCTTTCTATCAGACTGCTCTTCTCTATGTGCTGGTCTTTCAGTCATCCAACTGTCAGTATTTACTTAAATGAAATTATAGTTTCTTAATCCATGGCAAATTTGTTTAAAAATGTACTTAATTGTAACTTGTAAGTCTCAGCCATAGGTATGGAATGGTGTTCCTAACCAGCAAAATGTCTGAGCTCCTTTCCTAGGTAAGGAATGGTGCTTTCTATCTTTTCCTAATGCGAGCAAATAACTCCAATACGCTTGAATTAATACATCTGCCTCCAATCTCTTTGCCTTTCCAACAGAAGATGGTGCTTTGCAGCTCCTGTTGCTAAAACTGCCGCCAGTTCTGGGAAGTGTTTTGCAAACAGAGCTCGAGTCAGAAGGTGAGTGCCCCGGAGTGATCTCCCCCGTGTGCCTGCTCATCTGTTTTGACAAAGCACTCGGTGTGCAGCAGCTCCCCTATCAGGGCTCCATTTTAGTGGCATTAAGGAGCTAAAAGGGAGTTAAAATGCTGAGAGCCGGGTTAGAAACCGTGGGCTGTAGCCTGCCATGTGTTTTGAGCAGATTACAATCTAGAGGGAGTTTTACTTAAATATCCATGACACAATTAAAATAAATCTTGTTTCTATTATTAATGGAGCCTTAGGGTCAGATCATCAGTGTAACAAATATGCTGAAGTTAGTGGAGCTATGTGCACTTAATACCAGGGGGGCTATTAAAGTATTACAGCTGAAATAACTTTATGGCCACATTTACCACGTTGTGATAACTCCTTCCAGCCATTCCTCTGGATTCCTGGACACCACACCCAGGGCTTTAAAGTTACAGGGGGGACGGTGGGAGAGTTTCATTCATCCTTGATAAGCAGCCAGGATTATATATGGCCTAAAATATTATTCACTATTGTACCTGAAAAGGGAAGGCCAGCACAGAAAAGATGCATTGGAAGGGATTAAGTTTTCACAGCATAAGCAGGAGAGATGAAAAGAAAGGATACTCCCCTTAGTTGATTCAGCAAATTCCCTTCCCCACGTAAAGCTGCTGCAAAGCTTGTTTTAGTAAGAAAAGGACTTTGTAAAATTAAGGTAGTGATTTGCCAAATCCAAGGGGTAAAAGAGCTCCTCAAAAGCTTATCTGCAGTTTGCACCGGGCCAGCGTGGGGAGCTCTGGCTGAATGGCAACAGTCATGTGGACTCCTGTTACTCTGGAAGTCATTCCCAAAGCTAAAGCTGAAGGAGATGGGTTTTCTCCCACACTCTGGCTGTGTACACATCTCATTTCAAGCAGATATTTTGGAGAATATATTTGCACCTGCTCATATCTGGAATTTAAGCACTGGGAGAACTTCGACTGAGCTCGTTGTTAGCAGCAGAAAATAGATTATTGCTGTTTAAATGATGAAAGTAACAGTGAGTTCTCTTGTCCATTAGATAAAGGGGAAAGGAAATCCCATAGATAAACTGGGAAAACCTATGGAGTTCTCCTTTCCCTAATAAAGCTGCTCTTGACACCGTTTAGGGAAAGCAACTCTAAGCAATGAATGTCAAATGACAGAGCAAAGAAATGCATCTCCTTCACAGCTCAGTGCAATCAGTTCTAGAATAAAAAGTCCACATATCCCAAAATCCTCTCTGTCTGAGCTGACATCTTCCCCCCAGCTGCTGCAGCACCATTGCATCCCACTAATGTGGAGGGATCTGGAGGAGAAGCCTCAATGCACTTGGGCAGCACGTCTCGAAGGGGCTTGTCAGACAAGTGAGGCCCCGGCCTGTCTCTGCTCTCTGCCACAGCACTGCTTGGAAACGGGGGCTGGAAGTGTATCAGTGTCACCAGGAAATATCTGACCCCAAATCACACCAAGCAAGAGGCAATCTGTGGGTTCCACGAGGGCACTACAGCAGCTGAACCAGGCATGACACTGGCAGTATTATTTTTGCACAACAGTGCAAAAAGCTCAGCAGCATCTTTAAGTCAGCGGCCAATGAGGCACAGATTTGGGGTCACACTTGCAGGGAGGGTGCTCTGACCTTCTGACAAACACACAGAGCAGAGGGATGTGGAAAATCACTCTTTGCATCTTCTGTTTCTCCTTTGAATCTGCCAACCTGATTCTTCTGGGGACTGTGACATAGTTGTTATAGGAATAATTTATCCTGGTAGATGAAAAACCAGTTTGACTGAAGGACTGGGGTGGAGAACATTTCATTTTCTATGAGGTAAACATTTGGGGGCAAATGTCCCAGGTGTCATTGCCACTGAAGAAAACTTTTTCTTGGGAAAAAGACAAGGAATATCCTGCAAGGTCAGAGAACAGTCTGGCCTCTGTCAAACTCCAGGATTATCCAGAGCAGTATGTGTATCCTTCCCATCTGCCATTCCTGACTTTAAGTGAAGCTCACTGTAAATATGTTTTGTATTTTGAAATGTAATTGAAAAGGCATTAGGCTTAATTCGTGGCAACCTCTAGGACATCAAAGCCTCTCTGTGAGTTTTAAGCTACAGAAAATGGACCATTCTTTGCATATATCCACGTGTTAAAGCTGCTCTGCTTCCACGAATAGAAGTAAAAGGCTTAGGGAGACACAGAGCAGAAGGACAACCAAATTCAAGTGTATACAAGTGTCACTTAACATAGAAGAGTCTTAAATATAAAAGATACACCTATTTTTAATTAGAGAATTAAAATCTGTTTCAGTAAAGAATTATGAAGTATGGACATGGACCCCCAAACTCCCATCGATGGTGCTCCTTCCCCAGGCAAATGAAGGAATATTTCCCCAAGTGCCTCTCTGCAGATGATCTCGTGCCCTGTGGCACATTTCTTCTTGCAGCATCCACAGCATATCAAGCCCTGAGAAAATAATGAAAGCCACAGTCTTTGCCCCAAAGACCTGCCAGTCATATAAATGGCAAATTTCTTGCCACTAATCACTGTCTCGAGAAGACAAAACAATTACTACTTTTTGAAAATGTTTACCTGAAAAAATGTGCTGACTTAGATTGAATTTGGCTCATTCCCTTCAGTCAGACATGACAGAGGAATTGCTTCAAACACAGCTAAAGCCCCCTGGAAGGATATTCCCAACTGCTGTGAGGGAACAGCATTTCCCTGTGTGTGTGTCCCCTTTCCCTCTGCCAAACCAGGACAGTAATTTCAGTGGTAGCTTTGCCTTTGGGAAGTCCTGTGTCCTACCACTGCATTCCAAAATCACCAAACTCTTCTTCCTTTTTGGAATATGTTTTTCTTACACCTGGCGATTTACAGCACAGAACTCACAAGCAGAGAATTCAGGGGGGTTGGATGGCCTCTGTCATCATAACTGCAAGTCACATTGCATTTAGAAAACAAAATCAGAGCCTTAAAATGGCAGTTTTGCCCATAATTGCACTGCTTTTCATAAAAGCATCTCGTACCAAAAATATTTTTACTGATGCAAGGATAAAATTTTGCTCTAGTTCCATTTAACTGCTCCCAATTACACATGTAAGCAAGGCTACTCCCCTTTCACAGGATTAAACCATATCCTGCCACAGCCACACCAAATCCTGAATCTGCAGGAAACTGTTGTGCCAAACAGAGCAGCTTCCCTTGACCATGGAATGTCTCACACTCTGGCACGTTTGGAAAACTACAGACTGAGCAGTTGGAATTTCAGAAGTTAGAATTTGCCTTGCCTGCCTCTCTGCCACAAGTAGATGTATTTTTAACAAGCAACTCATCGCTATTGTGTAACTGGAGGAAGAAAGTCAAGTAACCAGGGAATTAATCCAAATATAAAATAATGTATCCAAGAAATTATAGGTTGCACATATCCTGGCAGTGGCTGTGCCTGGGAGCAGACCTCGAAAGACAGAGGCTGAGAAGACTCTTCTTTAAAATTCTATTTTTTTCTTCTTTTGTACTCAAACATCACTTTTCAACCCAAAGCCTCAATGCTGGCCCAAGTGCAGAGGGAGAAACAGGATCATTGAAATCACGGGCAAGGTCTTGGTGCCCTTCGGTCATGAGCAGCATTTTCTCTGCCTTCACTGCAATACTGGATTGCTTTGGAGCACGAGGATGTCAGGATCTGACCCTGGATAACAGATTCAAGGTCACAGGATAAATCATCGTGTCAGCCCTGACTAAGAGCAGTTGACTTGACGCTTCCTCTAAGCAAGATCCTCTTCCTTCCCAGTGAAAAAATCAGATCTCACTGATTAATTCCAAAAAGTGTAACAGCAATGTTCTGTCTTACTCCAGTTACCACTTTGCCTCTTCCACTCCTCTGGAGGTACGAACGATGTCTGGGAAGCAGAAGCTGTAGGACCCCTTTAATGCCACAGCCCCCTCTGCTCTGGGGGGGTGTGGGCATGTTTTTACATGCAGCAAGTTCTTTTTTACACCCCCTTCTATTTTCATTGCGTAATCATGGCAAGCTTTCTCCACATCCAGCCTCCAGATCTGGAGAGAATCTCTGGAGCCCGTGGCTGGTTGCCTAGCTAACACCTTCAGAGGAAATGGGGCTGAGCTGCACACATCCATCCTTCTGACATACATCCTTCTTTACAATTCAGCATTTTAAGAAATGGTTGGCGTTCTCCAAATGATTTTTCCCCCTAAGATCTCTGACAGCCTCTTCCTGTCATCCTGAGTTCAGGAGACTTAATGAACCCATTGGAAAGGCATGGTCGTATTTTCGGGTTTTAACGGTGCCTATGGAGGCCCCAAGCAGAGCTATTCAGCTCGTACCCCACTGGTTGTGCTGGGTTTACGGAAGAGGTTCGAGTTCAAACAGGCCCCTACAGAGCTGCTGGAGGGGCTGAGGCTGTGCTGGGATGTGCAGTGCCTCACAAGAAGTGACTGCCCCCAATTTAGAGTGAGTGCCCTCGGGAAAAGCATTCCAGGGGCATCCTGTTAAACACACAGCCCTTGATTAACCCAAGAAAGTGCTGCTCAGTTGGCAAAGTGCACCCTCAGCAAGGAAATGAAGAAAGAAAATAAACCAAACAGAGGAGGCACATTAAAGAAACTCTTGAATCGAGAGCCCTTTTCTCCTGCACACTCTCTCCAAGCAGTCCTGGCCCGGGAGTGCACAAAGCATCCCTGGGCAGGAGTGGGAGCCCCAGCCAGCCCTGGCACCACTCACCCCGACCGAGGGAACGGCTGCCCGAGGCCAGGCTGAGAAAGAACGAGAAGATGTTTTCTTACCTGATACACCTGTGCTGTTGGGTGCACAGTAGAACCAAGGCAGGAAAAACCCAGGTAAGAAATTCCATTTTACTCCCATTTATTAGACAGCGGCGACCAAAACCCAGGTTCCCCGGCTCTCCTGGCAGCTCCAAAGCTCCAGTGGCGTTGCCATCCTTGCCTGCTGCGCTAAGTTGAGGCTGAGTTTAAAGCGATGGATGGTTGCTCAGCAGCAGCAGCCCCCACAATCTCCACAGTGCCCGGGAGCCATGCGGGCAGCCCGGCACGGGAGCAGGGAGCAGGGCAGCTCCGCTCCGCTCTCCTCCTCTGCTCTGCGGGTGGCTCAGTCCCGCCCGGCTCCGCTGCCCTGCTCCCGCATCCCTCCCCTGCCGCGGGCTCTTCCTCCGGCCGCCCTGCCCGCCCGCGAGCCTGCCTGCCGAAAATAACCTCCGAAAGGATGGATTAATCCCACGGAGCGGGGTGGGAGCAACTCAAAGTGCTCCGGAGCCGCTCGTGTCCTGCGCGCATCGTGCCGGGGAGGAGCAGGAGGAGCTCCCAGGGCAGGGGCGGCCGGGCCGGGCGCGCTCGGGGACGCGGAGCCACATGTGAGCGGCGGGCACGGCCGCCCCCCGCCGCCCCCCCGGCACATCCCGGCGGCACCCGGGCACCGCAGCTGCAGCCCGGCTTCCAGCATCCCTCCGGGAAAGCGGGAATGGAGCCGGGGGCTGTGCTCAGGGAAACCGCCGCCTCCCCGCCGCTTACGCGCTGTCCCGGGCCGGCGGGACCACCGGGAGGGGCACGCCCGGGGCCACCAACTTCTGCCTCGCCGCCCGTGGGCTCCTCGGGGGCTTCTCCACACTGAGACACTGCCCTGGCGCGGCTCCATCCCGGGCTGGCACCGTCCGCCTTCCACCGCCTGTGCCGCGCGAACTCCCGGCCCCTGCGCTGCTCCGGGGGCTCCTCGGGACCCGGGTTCGGCTGCACTTGCAGGTCAAACTCCGTTTTCTCCTCCATATTCGCTCTTTCCTTCTCTCCTCCTCCGCCTCCTCGGCTTCTTGGTGCCGTTCAATCTCGAATGACAATTTTAAAACCAACCCACAAAAGGAAACGGTGCGAAGGAGACATTTTCAAGAAATTATATTCATAAAGCCAAAAAAAAAAAAAAGTGAATGTGCAGGTACCTTAAGCAAATGAAAGGAGGCACCGGGGGTAAAGTGTGGGGTTTATCTTTTCGTCTGCTTAATTCTGTATTATTATTTAGTACCAATATTTCAAGTGGCAACCAAGGGGTGGTGGGTGAGGGGAAATAACAGCCCTGTGGGACCCAGGAGAACAGATGAACACAATCCACAGACACAAATGCAATACAACAAATGTAAGATCATGTCATAAACGTGTAAGAAGGATGGGGGGGCTATTTTTGTCCTGATCTTTTCCTCCTTCTGCCCATTTCCGTAGCCACCCCTGCAGCTAGGGAGGAAAAGACACAAATTTAAACTCGAGGAGTTGGATTGTTGCATGAAAATTGCTTTTATTCTTTTGAGGAGGAAAAAGAAAAGGCTTTTAATGGAATTTGCCTGGTGACACACAGAACAGAATCATGTTGCCTCTCTGTATAACAGAACACATTTACAACTTCTGGGATCCTTTCAGTTGAGATTTTTTCACATTTTCCCCACCTTTAAGGCTGGTGTTCCGATGGGCTGCGTACGCCGAGAATTCCTTGGTGGTGTTTTTCTCTGGCCACAGAGCTGTCATCTAATTTACCAGTAGAACAGTTTCCTATGCCTTCAGCACACATCTGTAAAACCAGCAAGGAAATCCCCTTTGTTCAGTGTGTCTGTGTGTATGTTACATGTGTAGAACACACGTGTGAGTGTGTCAGTGTGAGCACATCATGGCAACAACATGTGCTCTGAAGGGACAGACCCTGCCACAAACGTGACCATGAACACAAGTGAAAATACAATGGCAATCCTAAAATACATGTGGAACTTCTCTCAGGTAAGTAATTACATCTGATCTATACTGACCTTAATTATACCCCCATATTATGCAGAAGAAGGACATTCAGCCTTGGGTCTAGTTAGTTTTGTATACAATACATATTTAAACAAAATAGGCTGGTACATATATGTATACACATATATATGTGCACACCCACTCAAAATAAATCCCATTGCCAAAGGGGAGAGAGGGGATAAAATAATAATAATGATCGACAATATATTTAATTTCCTACAATTTCAGCAGAGTATCCCAAGCTCTTTACAGTGAATGACAGATTAAAATTGCTAAGACATAGATTAAGAAACAATTAAAATTGCTATTAAAACATCAAAACAAAACAAAATAAATAAGCTCCCCAAATCTTTCTCATCTAATCCTCTTGAAAATAATTAAAGCTTTCCTTTAGCTTTAGCTCCTGGCTTGGAACTGTCAAATAGTCTTAAAAAGATGGCCCATGATACTAAATGTTTCCTGAGCCTTTTTGTCACTGTGCTAAACTGCTGCCTCTCCCCAATCTCTGTGTCTGCAGGCACCAGCTTTTATGCAAATACCCTTCCTGTGATCTGACCTTGAACGTTGGGCTCAGGCTGTCAAAAGCTGATGTTCTGCACCCACGTCTGGACAACTTCACAAGTAAATGTCATTTAAACATTATTATCCTTAGTTGCTATTATCACTGTATTAACAATTACTAATTTTTGAAGTATTTACCCCATTCAAGTAGTAAGCAAAGGTCACAACTCTGAGGCATGTTTTACTGTAATTGAAACCAGAAACCCAGATTTCAATATCTGTCAAGTATTTTTCTTCTGGAACAGGTAACAGGTTTTTCCCTGATCACAAAGTCATCCGTACTTTGTAACTGCTGCCATAAAATAATTTATTGAAGGGCACAATTTGATGGGATTGAGGAGAAACATGCTCAGTCATTTGGGCAAAATAACAAGTTTTCATAGTCACTGATTACCTCAGGATTTTGGGACCGTATCAGAAGGACATTATTTCAATTTATTTTGCAGTGGCACTGCATTACCTGGTCTTCTTAATAGATTATTTTCTAAACAGAACAGGTGGTTTTGCTGCCAGCAAAATAAAGATGTCATATTGTCACATATAATTTTGAGGCAAAAACTGTACCACAGGGCTAATTAGTTTCCCTCTCCCATGATTCCACCTAAGCAGCTCGTGAAAGACTGTTGTGGCAACATCACCAAATGTCTCCAGATATACAAATTACACACATATGCCTCTTTTTATAAATGAGATTTGGGAATATCAGCAGCAATCACACGGCGAGAATATTGAGCTCATTTCAGAGGTTGTGCTGTGCTTGCACTGTGGGAATGTCCCACAGCCCCAGCACAAGTGTGTCTGTGTTTTATCAGCATCAGGAGAACCACAATATTAATTTCCCTTTCACCTAAAGGAATCCAGTTTTTATCTGTTCTGCAGAACATCCAGTTCCTCCCCCAGCCTGTATAATTTTATAAGCGTGAAGCACAGTGCAGCCAGACACTCTGCCCTCCTTTTCTTTCCTTTGTGCAGCCAATTTGGGATGAAATCCCCACTAGCAGGGCTGGTTCCAGCTCTGGGATGGTTGCCTTACCCCAGATGGGTTGATGTCAGGGGTGCACTCCCAGCTGGTGCCACCCCAGGCCTCTCCTCCATGAGATGCTCTGAGAGCAAATGCCCCTCTCGTTCCTTGTCCATCCATCTGTAGGGATGAGTCACTGGGAAGATGCTTATCAATGTTTGCCATTGTTTACGGCCCAACGAATCAGTGTTTGCCATTGTTTACAGTCCAACACTGATCCATAGGGGCAGGGAAGTTGGCTTATGTAATTGATAGGAGCCACGGTGCCAAAATGCAGATTCCATTATTGGCATGTCTTCCTGCCTAAAAGCCAGAAAGCTCCATATATGAGCTGCTGTCACCTTGGAAACGTTCAGGAGGGAAATGCCAACTCTGTGGGAGCCCAGTGTGCAGCCACCCAGCACTCTGCACTGCCCAGTCCTACCCCTGCCCAGGTCATCCTGAGGTGGTACCAAAGGAACTTCACACAAATGCCTCTAAATTTAACCTCACAGCAAGAAACCAGCAGGGTTTTAATTTATTCCTCCTCACTTTGTTACCCATTTTCTCCGAGATGGATCACTGGGGGTCAGAGCCTTAAAAATCTAGAAGAGTTGCATCAACCAGAGCCTTTTTGCACATTTCCTGGAGCTTAAAGCTTTAGGTTCACTGGCTTGAATTGGATACACTTGGCTGGGGAGCCATAATTTCCTTCAGAGGAACTGAATATATTCTCTCTTCTCCCATCTATATGAGAGACAAAAATCTATATTGCCCTTCCCTAGAGACAAGTTATTTAACTGACACGATATCATGACCATTTTTTGTTGTCGTTATGAAAATTGTCCAAATAGTTGTAAGCTGGGACTAAATAAATACCCTGCATAAAAATATCACAAGAAACTGATAATCAGTGATATTTCCAGGTGTTCTTCCAAGAGTTTTCTTGAGGGGAAAATCCATACTTGGATCTTTTGCATCCCAGCTCTAGGAGTGTGGGAACTGGCAGGTTCAGAGTTAACACAGTTATATCTATTCCAGATCTGCAGAGAGAGCTATACAGTTAATCACTGCATATTTTTAGCCTACATCTTGTAGCTTTAATCCTGCAAATGTCTGTATGTAATTTGTTTTATGTAATATGAATAGATGCCATAAAATCAAGATTCCACCATTTATAGAGCTAAGAATGTCCATATATTTCTCAGGAATGAGGACCTACAGCATAAGTGTGGGACAAAAAACTGGTCACTGTGAGTAATTTATACTCTATACTGTGGGTGCCAGTGGAAATAAATGCTCAGATTAGCAGCATGTTCTCATATGCATGGGATCAAAAACCAGACCTTACTCTCATAGCAACTCCAACAATGACAGAAATATTGCTTACAATTAAGGAACAGTTTCAACTAAATAAATCTGAGAATGCATCTGTCTCTATGTACAGATCAGGGTGTATTTTGGTGTGGATGATGTCCCAGTGTTTTCACAACTGAATCCCTGTGAATCTTTGAATAGCTGGATTTCTCCAGCATGTCATGGAGTGCCAAGAGTGAGGGAACAGGGATGTGCTCTGCTGTGGATCCACTGAACTGGTCCTTGACTTCATCAAGGTAGTACAGGGAATAGAATGGAAAGGAAACCCAGCAAATTAACTTGGAAACCTTCAGTACTCTAAAATGTCTGTGCTCCAGCCCCAGATCCACAGGACTTTGCATTGCAGGAAGTCAGCATGGGAAAGATTTCTTTTAATCTTAAACTTTCTTAAAATTTATAAATGTGCGTAGAGCTGAGGGTTCAGTGGGGATGACTCTGATTGACCCACACTGCTGAGAGTCAATAATAACAATCAATCCATCCAGGAGGGAAAGGCTCAGCTGCCCCAAATCCCAGCAATTCCCTGGGCCGGCCCGACCCACGGACACGGACCCACGGACACGGACCCACGGACACGGACCCAGGGCCAGCGGCTCGGGCCGTACCACCCCGCGGGGGGGGGGGGGTGTCCCGGGGAGGCTCCAGGCACGCTCCCCCCCCCGCGCGCGGTGGTTGGCGCCGTTGCCGTGGCAGCGCCGGGGCTGTGGGTCGGGCTGTGGGTCGTGCTGTGGGGCCGGGCTGTGGGGGGGTCTGGGCCCTTCCGCCCTACTGGGCAGTTCGGCCCGGTTCTACCCAAACTTTGTTATCCTGGAGTTGGAGCTGCAGCCTCACAACGAAAGCGCTGGGCCCCTGCTGCATTTTTATGTTTGTGCCACTTCTTGGTGCCACCAACGTCTTTAACCCAGCCTAAGAATCCTGCTTGGCTTCAAGGTGCTTCCTATAATTTAGTAAGTTTGCTCCTTTACTCCAGCGCGTGTTTTCTCTGCTCCTTACCTAGAGGAAATAGATACTCTCCTATGGTTTATGTTTTTGAGTTCTGCAGAAGGATTGACATAAAAGCACTCAAAGCTGAGCCACCTTCGTTAAAATTAATCATATGTACGAGTCTCTGGGTGAGTAAGATATGAAGTGCTCAGCCATGTGGTGATAACTCATTCTAGATGACATACAGAATTTACTGAATTCTAATAAATTGTATCAACATTTGGGAACAGTTTAGTTCACATGAGAGAACTGCACGAGACTCAAGAGCAAGTAGTGTTTGTTGGAGATGTGCCCGGATCATTCGGGGTAAAGTGGTGGCCTAAGCGGATAAAATACATTCAGAAGGTTGTTTGTTTTATTACTGAGCTGATTGTTATATATATAAAAAAAAAAGTGGCAGTGTCCTTGCTTTTCTCTAGGAGATTTATTAAAGTTGATACTCAGAGTGTGACTGGCACGAAGGTGTGTGGTTGTATCCAGTTATTTCTGATGCATTAGGTATTTACTGAGAGCTGTGACTTCACCTCTGGAGACAGTCACAGCTACTGCAGGTTGGTGGAGATTAGATGTATTAAACATATCCTTCTCTTTCTTAGCCTGGTTGTTTGGAAAGACCTGTCAGCATGGAAGATCATGGGCTCTCTTACAGTGAGGGAGAGCAGCAAATATCTCCTCAACCGCTTCTGGAAGAGGAAGAAGAAGAAGATGCAGCTGGTCAGTTCAGTAACGTGGAAGGACCCCAGGAAGGTGAAAATGATGACTTGTTTTGATAACTCAAAAAATCCTGACATTAACTTAAAGTTCATGTAAGATAAACATTTAATGTTATAAAATGTCATCTCTGATTCTTCACGGTGTGACTTGACAGCAAGTGTATAAAACTTTGCATTTTAGAGTTCAGTCTCTTATTAAGCTGTTGTTTCAATATCTGTTAGAATACGAGCTGGAAGAAAAGTGGTTTGGTGATGGCAAGATGGGAACCAAGGACACTTCTGGAGATGTTGGAGACCAGTCTGATTCCAGCACGTAAATACCTTGTTCCAGTTCTAACAGGAATTTCCTTTGTCATGTTGACTGACCAGCTGTATAAAATAAGTTTTAAACTATTTTAGGACGTTCCCATTAAAGTTCTAAACTATTGTTCAGGAACACTAGAATTGCAAACCCTAGTTGGGATCAAGAGGAGACACAGGCATTTCAACACAAAGACAGATAATGAATGTGTAAAATGAGGGTGTAAATGTTCAGCATTAGATATCCAGGTCTAGAAATCCTGGCTTAAGTGCACACGTGCAACCTTCTTGTGCAGTTTGGCTTCATGTGTTTCCTTATTTATACTGGTTGTATTTGTAACAGTTCTGCTAGAGTAAAACAGAAAACAAGGATGGAACAAACTTCAGGTAACTTTTCAGTTTTTCATTATGTTTCTTTGTTAATTGTGTGTTTGAATTCCAAGGGAAAGCTTGGAGCACAGTTTGGGTGACATTAGCAACACTCAGGCTCTGCTGGCTGAAGAGAGAATTCACATAGCAGCCGTACAGAGGAACATAAAACTGCTTGATGACATGGTCAAGGAGAAGGCACAGGTGGTCCAAAAAACCAGGTTAGTGTTTAACTGAACATAATCCATCAGCATAAATCACGGGCAAGTACTGGGATACTGTATCAGTAATAAGTGTTACAGTTTATAGAACTATAAACCATATCCTGTAGGAATCCTAGCTGTGAATCTTGCCCTCAGGAGGAAGAGTTTCATTGGAGAGAGTAAAGAACTTAGAAGAAATGAGTGCTCTGTTTGTTTCTTGCAGACAAAAGCTGTGTGCCTGTCAGCTGCGGATCAGGATGCTGGCAAAGCAGCTGGATCGTGTACACATGGAAATAGAGAGAGAGAAGGAGGCTGGCAATGTGTAGGTAGAGAGTATTTCTGGATACCAGGGATCACAGGCATCCACTGTGTTCATCTGTGTGCAGTTAATGAGACCAGTGCACAAAGAGGTGGAAGCTTGGGAATGGGTAGGGAAGAGGCATATTTTAAAATATAACAACAGGTATTAAATCACTGCTGTCAAGTGGGTATGTCAGGGTCTCAATCTTCTATTCAGTCTGATGAATCAAGGTGCTGTGGCAGTTCTTTGGTCATGGCTTTTTCTCTGTCATGGTGACAATTCAGTCAGGATTTAGATAGATATATATATATATATATATATGTACAGACATATGCACCATTTCTTTTTCCCGTTGTGTTGTGGAAGGCAGGAATGCCTTGCAGGAGTAGCTCTGCATACAGGAGCTGCTCTGAAACACTTGTGCTGCTCCCTCAAGTGGGAGGCAATTTACTGTACTCTTCACATTTGGTTTAAATAGAAAGCAGTGGGTGGCTTGTGTACCAGGAACCAGAGTATTGTGACCAAACTTCGCAGCTGCATTTATAACCTGTGCTGATCTCCAGGTTAGTGCTTCCCTGAGGGAGAGAGAGAAAGGCAGGTGAACTGCCAAAATGGGAGAGCTGCTGAAACAAAACTGAGGAGCTGAATGCAAATGAGCCTCCTGGGGTGGTGCAAGTGGGATCTCAGAGACAGGAACAAAACCCAGCAAAGACAGAAAAGCAGTGTGGAGTGTTTATCCTTATGATGGGTCACATTGGGAGGCCTAGATACGTAAAAAAAAAAAGCAATTCTCCCAATCTCTTGCATTTAGCAAGTGACTAGTGGAAAAAGAAGACTGGGTGGATTTCTGGTTTATGAAGCTCAGAGGCATCGTGTTTTAGCAATAATGGAAATCCTGTCTGCCATTAGTACTCCCAGTGCTGGAGTTAGAGGAGAACTGCAGGTAGACTGTCCAATTTTCATTTAGAGGATGGGAGTTTGTTCAATACAGTCGGGTCACTGTGGATCCTGTAGCACAATCTGTTGGTTTTCCTGGGTACAGAAGAAAAATAACTGGGGGGGAATGCTGCCATTGTAGACAATTACATGGAATATTGTGATGCCATTTTAAAAGCAAAATCAGTCTAAGTTCTCTAGGTTCACCTGAGCTCATCTTCAGTAGTAATGCTACTTTTATCAGTGTGAGAAATTAATAGTTGCATTAAGCTAAGAAAAAATTCTCATCTTTTCAACCAATGTATGAGAGCATAAAGACAGCTCTGCCTCAGGGTGAAGAATGGGCACCTGAAAGGTTAAATAAGACACTGTATAAATTAGTGGCATTCTAATACATAAATCCTCAGCCTCCAAGCTATGCTTTTTTTAACCTTTATTAGTTGAAATTTCTCTCTGATTGTTTGTTCTCCACGTTTGCAGCCCAGCCCTGTCCCGCCTGCAGGCCGTGAGCCACCGGCTGCACTCCGAGCTGGACAGGGAGAAGGAGCAGGAGCTGATAATTGATTTGAAACTAGACCAAAACAAGTGAGTAAGGGAATGAGAAAAGGGTGTGAAGGGAGTCAATCTTTATTACCTTCTTCATGTGCTGTTGAATGGATTCAAAAGTGAATCAATACAGAAGTTGCTTGTAAATACTGAGCTACGTCATTGGAGGTCATTGACTGCAAGGCAAAGCATCTGGAGAGCGACATTGAGCCTGGAGGTTCATTCCTTAGGAAATTTCTTGCTGTGGCTCAGCCCTGGGTTAGTTTTGCACACACAAATGAATTTCTGATTTTATTTGGAGTTGTGCATCAGTTGTGGACCTAAACAGGTCTCATTTTAAATGGAAAATAAGCTGGACTCAAGTAAACCTGTCTGTGATGCTGATCCCTGCATGAGCATAAAGACTTCTAATTTATGCCTCGTAGTGTTTTTATGGGGCATAAAGGACAGGACTGGAACTGAATGTGAGGAAGACATAGTAGCAGTACTGTGTATTTTCATGCTGAGCTAATATTGCTGCTTGCAATTGATTGTTCACACATTATAAATTATTCACTTGTAGAAGACAGAGTGAAACTGCCCTTTGCAGAAGGCAACAGGTGAGTGTGTTTGTATTTTGGTACCAGAGGTGCCACTCCATCAAAGGAAGAACACAGGCACGAGCTTGTAGCTGGGATTAGCCAAGTGGTTCCAGGATACAGTGTGTTTGCTGCAGTGTTGTGTAATAGCTGTAAAATGCTTGGCTTGTTTATTGTGTGATTAGCAGTACATAGAACAGATTAATGTAGTCATCCCTGTCACATCTGAATTACTTCAGCAGAGCACAGAAGAATAAAAGCTATGGCCTGTCTCTGAAGTTACTTACTGTTGAAGAAAAAGCTGTTTTTCTAATTTTTCTTGGGTTTAGTATTTTCTTCTGGGTAAATATGAGAAATAGAGCCTTGGGGTTTATTTTTTTACCTTTTTTTTTTTGACCAGTAATTTTGATGTCTTTAAAATGGGATGTGCTATTAGATATGAGCCTTAGTCTGAAACAGCTTTTCAGTAACAAGGTTTGATTTACAATGCATTTAAAAAGAAAATGAAACAAAACACAGCTAGATGTTCATTTTCACCACAGAGCCTTCCCTACTCAACAAACCACCTTCAGCAAGTGAAAGAGTGCCAATATTTCAGTGCAAACACCTCACATTTTTGTTTTAAAGGCTGGAGATGTGGGAGATAGAAATCGAGCAGGGAAAATACCAAGTGATCCGTGACAAACTTCAGGAAGACGAGGAGCAGCTCCAGAAGCAGTACCAGGAGCAGAGGGAAGAACGGATTCGGCAGGAAAAGAGAACAGCCCTGCAAGCAGAAAAGAAGCGCCGCTCCCGGGAGCAGTAAGGGCCTCTCAGCCAGGCTGTGCTGCCTCCCTGGGGTGTTGGGAGCCGGGTCACACTGCAGGGGCTGACAGGGGCTGATTCAAACACGAGGATTTGTTGGGTTTCTTAGCTGGGTGTTGGTTCAGCAATGAGGAATTGGAGTTATAATAAGAACTGGCCGTGGCCTTGCAGTCCTGCAGGTAAAGATTTCTGATCTCTGAGAATAAACTTGTTAATGACAGGAGCTGTGAGTGCCTTGTGTGGAAGGAAATGAAGTTTGTTAGGTCAGACTAAGTGCATGTGTCTGCAGTGCTGTTGGCCCCCAGGACCTTCTGAACTTATGGTCAAGCCCTTGGAGATTTCCTGGAGAGAAAGCAGACACCTGTGTCAGCCTGTCTGTGGCTTTTGTGAAGTTTATCAATTTATCTGTAATGTGGGGAGTGCAGACTAATGTCCTCATTTCCTTAAACTCCACAACCTCTCCCTTAGGTGTGTGTTGGAGTCAAGGTTTAGTCCTGCTGCAACTTTTACCTGTGTTTTGCAGAAAAGAGGAGAAAGCCCAGAAAGAACATGAAGAAAGAAAGAAAAAAATACTTGAAGATGCCAAAAGGAACCACGAGAAAGCAGCCTGCTTCCTGAAGCAGAGCACAGCAAGGTTGGGCTTCACTCCTTTCTCTGTTCTACAGTACTTCAGGCATTGAAAAATCAGGGTTTTTCTGCAAGGTGTATCTTGCGTTATAGGTTTGTGTTTATGTAATTACTGTGGCATTGAATTCTTTTGCTACTATAGAAACATTTGGTACTTATTTTTACTTATATACAAATAAATCCTAATATACAAATATTAGGAATTAATTATAAAATGATGGAAACAATTGTGCTGTTTCTGTGCTGGTTTGTTTTTCATTAGATGACATGTGGAAATTGATCATAATTAAGAAGAACAAACAAAAAGGTTTCTTTTCCTGACAAATGTATCAAATATATCAATCTTACTAATTTTTTCTAGTTTACCATTATATTAACTGCAGTACTCTCAGGTTTGATTCATGCCCACATATTTCTAACTTTTAATGTTTCTAGGTTGAGTGCATGTGCTGGGCTTGGATAAAGATCACTACATAATTCTTTAGATATTGGTTATGTGAACACCTAAATTCTTACTTTATTTTAGCTACTAGTGAATGTCATAACATGGAACATTGAAATTGAAATTTAAAAAAAAATAAATAAAGCTGTTGAGCAAACTATTTGAAAGCCTGTTGGCACTTGGTGCTGTGTTGAGAGTCTCTGGCTGTTCCCCTGCACCCACAGCCACTGTCCCAGCAAACAGAAAAATGGCAGGTGACACTGGCAATTTCTGCTTGTCAGCTTAAACATTCTAATGCCAGAAGCTTTCCAGGATGTCAGCCTGAAAGATCTTCCTTTGCTTACAGAATTCATGACAAAATCGCAAAGGAAGAAGAGAAAACTCGGGAGCATATGGAGAGAAGGATACAAGCTGTGCTTTCCCTGAAAACCAGCATCACTTCCAACAGGGTACTGCTGCTGGGCTGGGATGGCAGTGAAGTCACTGCCTTGTGACACTGCTGGGGGTTACTGCAAGGAACTGCAGCTCTCCTGGCAGAGCTGTGGGGTGGTTTTTGATCAGATCACTGACCAAACCTCGTGAGACTGGGGCCGGTTAAACCATTGCAGAGGGAGATCTGCATGGGCAGGTTTTGGCACTTGTGCTGATGGAGCTGATTCTGTCAACAGTCTAGTTGTTCTGGGAAGGGAACTCTCTGGAAAATAATGCATACTACAAATAAGTCCTCTGCAAATCCAGCCAGAAGGATTTCCAGTTATTTGGATCCCAGTGCAGAAATACCCCACATGGAGAAAACATATGGAAGAAAAACAGTTATTTAAGAATTTACATTATTTAAATTAGGAATTTCTGAGCTATGCTGCTTTGCTCTCCTATTTATATTCTAGAGAATCTGAGGGAATGATCTTAATTTAATCCTGATTTGTTTAGAATTGTATCTTTTCCCATTCTTTCATTGAGCAGCATTCCCAGGGCAGGCTGGAAGAGTAGAGAAGGAGCCTGGTCCTAGGCAGAGCTTTCTGCACCTCAGCAGCCCTGCAGACTACAGAGAATATAAAAAACAATTGGCTTCTACTTCAGAGACACCCACCACTAATGTATACTTGGATAAGGGGACCAAAAGTAGATTCTCTGTTTTATATTCCTTATGATGTGAATCAAATATGTGACTGGTTTGTGTGACTTCACAGGAAAAGCTCCAAACCCTCCAGGTTTTAAACAAAGCGAAGGCCTTGGAGGCAAAGAATGAGGAGATGAAAATGAGGGAAGCCATCCTAGCAGAAGGAGGCAATGTTGTCCAGGAAATTTTCCTCCATAAACGACAGCTAAAGCACGAAAAAGAGGAACAGTAAGTGGCATATCCATATCCAACTGTCAGCTGCTTCCTGGGGCTCCTCAGGAATGTGGTGGAGCTCCATCAGATCCTGAAAACAGACATCTCTGAGTGAACTCCCTGTCCTTCTGTGCATGGGACAGTTGGACAGTCTGTCCTGCAGGACCTGAGTGCTGCCTTAGGGCTGTTGTTCAGAGCCCCAAAGCTGTGTGAGTGTTGTGTGAGCAGTGCAAAGATCAGCTGCTCCAGGAGGGAAACTCAGTGACCCTCCATGGATACCTGCAGAAATTGTCCTCCTGCCTTTCCTGAACACTCTGAAAGTCTATATTAGCCTTCTAAAACACTGCAGTTGAGTATATTTCGTGTGCAAAAATGTATAAATAACTTCTGAATCACCTGATGTCTTGACACAAATTACCACTGCACCCAACGTGGCTATTTCGCTTAAAGACTCAAAAGTAACTGGGCTGTAGATAATATTATTAGTAAACAACCATGGTTGGGTTAATATTTCTTAAAACATTGGATTACAGAGCTTTCAGAGAACTGCAGAAATCAAGAAAAATTGAGATTGTATCTCGAATTCTGAAAGAAGAAGCTTCTTTTCACAAGCAGAAAGAAAGTCAGTCCCGTGTTAGGGCAACTAAGGCTCGGGGTAAAGTTGAGGACCCTTCAGTGCAGAGAAAGGAAGCCTGGCCCTGCAGGGAGGAGACCTGCACACCTGGTGCAGGGGGAGCCACAGCACAGGTAAGCAAAGGCCTAAGAATCAACTGCCTTCAGATTTTTAGATCTCTGGCCTCTGAGCTTTATAGACCTGTCATTTTTGTATTAAAAGATCTCCTCAGAAACTGGTAACTGTTGGAGTAACTGTTCTCTAGTAATTTTTAACTGTATCCTCCAAACTTCTGTTCTTTCACAGGAGTCCTGGCTCTCTCCATCACCTCCTTCCTTGGCTGGTGAGGGAACTCCTGAGGGAGGGAGTCCTGAGGACACAGCCCAGGATGTGCTCTGGGAAAGTGGGGATGAGGAGAAAGAGAAGGAAAAGACCCTCTTAGAACCAGAGTTCCCGGGACTTTGGGGCCAAGAATATGACTTGCACAAGGTAAATGTTGTGATATCTCTTGTTACAAACAGAAAAGAACTTTGTTTAAAGCCACTGATTATCAATTTTGCAGTTCAAATGCAGCCTTTACATTATTACATAGGTGCAGAGATTCAGATGTGAGAACATCATCAGTCATTACTGTTTGACAATATTCTGGAGGAGTTTGTTGTCTAAAAGCGAAAACAATACTTAGTTCAGAGATCTGTGAAGACACACATCACATGATGTTTAATTGTTTGAGTTTAAAACAACTTCAAAATCAGTCAGAAAAAAAATCATGTCAGTAAATATTCCTATACTTGCCTGGAGAAGCACTGGACCAGAACTGCAACATTCCAGAGAAGTCAGCTGGGTTTTTTTCTGAGTATTCGTTTAAGAAGTTGAGGGGAAACAAACTCTTAAGGTGCAGAAAAGCTGATACTGCCATGTCATAGTGTTGGGTGATGAGAAGCTACAGCACAGAATAAAGAATAAATGAAATTGTTCCTGGAGGAGTTGGGAGGCTGAGTTTGACCTGGAGAGAGCCTGGCAAAGGCTGGCCAGGTACTGAAAGCTTCCTTTTGCAGACTTTCCTGCTTTGAGCTGTGATCACACACAGCCCTGCTGTTTTTTCTGCCTGTTCCCTCTCAGATACCCAAGGAAGAGGTGGATCCAACACAGCTGGCTATCAGGGCACTGAAAAAAGAGGTGTCTGAGAAAAAAATGGAGGAATTCCAAAGTGGAAGTTTGGCCAAGCAAACAGTGCCTGGTCGTGAACACAAGGGCTGTGCTTTCCACAGCAAGCCCAGCTGCATTCATTTCAAGGTCAGTGCCCATTCCCTGGGGGATTATAAACATGGATCTGCTGGAGGTGTATCCCAGTGTCTTGATCAAAATTCTGTTGCAGCCTTTAATATGTCTTTATGTGACATTTGGAACAGCACCTGCCTTTTTCACTAACAATCTCATAGTAGAGTTACAGTCAGATTAAACAAACTACTTAGTTTTACTGCTTGGGCCTAAATTATAAAATATGTCCTCAGGGGAGTTTAAATCCTGTCAGAAAGGTGAGGAGATGGTGAAAGCCCTTGTTAGACTGTGTTCTGTGTTTTTTAAAGGGCAGCATGACTGTTACCTGTGTATTGTTTGTAAATGTATTATTACTGTAAAATAATGTCCTAAAGTGATGGCTCCCATGCAGTTAAGATTTCAGTTAGTTAACAAAACTGTTAATGACTCTATTAGACCATGAACATCTTTGACATTCACCTGCTATGTTTGGCATTCCAAGGATTTTGATGTTGGTCAAACCTACAAAAAGAAGATAATTTTGACCAATGCCTCCTACAGTGTTAATTACTGCAGGCTGGTGGGGATCAGTGAGCGCCTCAAGGACTTCATCAGTGTTCAGTAAGTAAATTAACTGTGAACTCCTTGCCTGTGGTCCCTTTGTACCTCTGCAGGAGCTGGAACCCAGTTCTGCAGCAATAGGAATTCCTGTGAACCCTGATAAACTCCACACAGCAGCTCCTCACTCCCCTCTCCCATGGGACAGGGGAGAGAATTGGGAGGGAAAAAGTAAAACTCGTGGGTTGAGTTAAACACGGTTTAATTGGACAGGAAAGGGAGGGAAAAAAGCTGCCAAAATAAAGGAAATCAGTCTTGGAGCACAGAGCACCGGAATTGCAAACTTGTGGTCTTCCCCATCAATCTATTCCTGTAATCCTGCTGCCAGGTTATGTAATGAAGCACTGTCTCTGCTTGGGACATTACAAATTAATCTCAGTTTAACTACATTGATAATTTTATCTCACTGTTTATAAATAAACAAAAGGAAGTCTCACAGTTGCAGCAGGGTTCTGGAGCCCTTCCTTAACCTGTCACTCATTCTGACTTTTGTGATAATTAGTCCAAGTGATGGTGGTGGGGGAAATAAAAAATACCTGCCATTGTTACCAGGGCAGGAGCTAGAGGTTTGATACACAGCTTTCATTTGGAGTTTTATGTTCATTATCTCCACAGTTTTGACCCACCTGGCAAAATGTCTTCTGGAATGTCCTGTGAATTCGTGGTAACCTTTAAGCCAATGGTAAGTGCACAGTGAGGAGAATCCTACTGTTATCCCGAAGTCTGATCAAAAACATCATTAATTGAAGTTCCTAACTGTTAACAAGGAAACAAGCTGCATCCTAGAAGAGCTGCTGTTGTCCATGGACAACTGTGTGCATTGATAAGTTGAAATATGGCATATTCTGAGGGTAGATGTGGGAAAAATGCCTCCAAAAGAGAACAAGTTTCTAAATAGTTACAATCAAGTTAGCCAGGCTGTTACCAAAGGCTGTTTTACACTGGAAATGTAGAATCAGTAAAAATACATTTTAACATGGTACTCAAAGAATGAATGAAAATGCTTTCCATCCCACTACATAGGCTAAACCTTTGGAAATGACTTATGGGGGGGTTTTTTGTTGTTGTTTTCTAGATAAATGAAAATCTGGCAGGAGAAGTCATGTTTGTGGCACAGACAGGTTCCTTTTCTGTCCCACTGCAATGTACAGTCAAGAGCTGCGTGGTGAGTGACTCTTGGAAGCATGTGGATAATATAATTCTTATCATAGAAGGCGGATGCTCATTTAATTGACATTCCTGGCTATGTAGGACAGGAGTAATTAATGGTTTATCTTCTCACAGCTGGCTCTGGATAAAGAGCTCATTGACTTCGGCAGCCACGTGTTGGGAGAGACAATTTCCCGGACCATCAGCCTGACAAACAGCGGAGCTCTGGGAACGGGATTCAAAGTTCAGACATCAGCAGGTGACAGAGCGACAGGAAAACCTGCCCCTGGAAGGATGGTGGGTTCAAAAACATTTCCTAAATGAGCAGAAACTGCTTTGTGGGGTGTGGGGGAGCTGCGCAGGGTCACAGAGCAGCTCAGGCCGGAAGGGACTCAGAAAATCATCTGGCCCAACTTTAGTGCGTTTGGGTTGGTACAAATATAGTCTGTTAGACCCAAATATCTGAAGATAAAATTAAAGACTATTATTTTGTGAGGAGAGGGGAAACCAACAATGCTAATTTTTTAAGCATTTTAGTAATTTATGGCATGGTTCCTATTTTCTCCACGTTTGTGACAATTACAAAAAAATAGTTAAAAGAGGAGATTCTGACAAAGTAATTAAAAATACCAACTCCTGGGCTTCAGAAAAATGCTGACTGGTGCAAAACTAGCAATAAAGTAAGGGGTGTGATAAGGAGAAATCTAGTTTCAGCAGACTTAGTTTTGACATAGAACTGCCTGTGTTTCCACTGGAAAAATGTTAGTTCTGTCATTTGCAAAATAACTGACAGTGTATTGTATTGCTCCTGTTATGTTATTTACCTGCTCAGGGCAGCCAGCAAAAATCCAATCTGTTCATTGATAAATTTCTAAAAAGAACATTCAGTTCTTGGAAAGTGCAGCACATTTCTCCATCTGTAACATGCAACAGTTGCAAGAAAGAACAGGTCTGACTTGCAACAGCTTGTTAAATTGGAGCAGGTGCAACCTAAAGGAACAACCACAGGAGAAAATACGTGTTTTCCAATAGGTCCCTCGACATTCCAGTGGCTGTGACCCTGAAGAGGAGGGGAGCAGCAGTCCTGGGACAGCTGGGCTGGGGAAGCAGGTCCGGATTTGTGCTGAGCCCAGTGAGGAGGTGACCCCCTGTGCAGCCCAGGAGCCACAGGGACCTCCGAGCAGCAGTGCCACGGGTGAGGTGACAGGTTTGGGACACTGACCCTGCAGCTTCCCAGGCCAGGCATTGTCCATCTGCAGTTTCCTGGAATGAACTCTGCAATTCCGTTTGCAAAGTTACTCAGTAAATAAGTAGTTCATCATTCTGGTAGTAATGTTATATTTCTTTGTGTGTTGCCTCACAGAAGATGACTAAAAATAATGTCCTGACACCATTATATCAAAAGCAGCAGAGATCCTCACTTCTCATTAGTGATCAAGAATTCAGTCCCAGAACACAGAACCCAACCAGCCTCAGAAATTGCAAAATTGTTAACATCATCCTTGTCTCAGCAACTGAATCCCCACTTCTCAGAATAGCAATCCACATGACAGGTTTATTTTTACAGTCTGTAATTCTAGGAACAAGGAAGCAGAAAGATGAACCTCAGACATTTTCCATCTCATTCCTAATGTTTACTATGTGCTTAATAAAATCCAATCTTGTAGAAGAAAGACATTCTTAATTTCTTTATGATCTCTGTTCTTTAACATTTCTTCCCAATATTGAGCATTCCAATTTCAGGAAGCCAAAAGTTCCATGCAAAGGTTGTGGGTGGTTTTTCCAGGTCCTCCTGGCTGCATTGCTTTGTCCCACTAAAACTGCTCTTGAAGCCAATTCACACTTCCATCTGAGTTTGCATTTCTGGATGTAACATCTCCATCTTTTAACTCAACATTAACAGTTGTTCTGTAATGAAAGGTCCAGGTGCCTCAGGTGGAATTCCAGACCAGACTAAAGCTGGATGGCCAAGCAGGCATTTCCTTCTAGACATTCCTGTTTCCCCATCACTGCTATACAATCCTGGATTTGCAATATTGACCCCAAGGGATGTACTTCTGCTCTGTTGGATATTTTTCTTAGTGAATTGATGCAAACATCCAGCATTTTGTTGTGGTTTGTGTTTGTTTTATTTTCCCCCCAGAACAACTTGATCAAGAATTGTTGAGTATGAGATCAGACCTGGACACAGATAACACACGGGATTCAGTGGAACTTTCTCCTGAAGAAACACCAGTTGAAATTATGCTTGGAAAGGTAATGAATGTCCTGAGATGCAGACAAGATTTCACTAGGCTAAACCTCCATCAGATAAATTGCTCTGGTGAGAATTGCTGAAGGTCATGATCATTTCAAGCCCACTGGACCTCACTCCATCACAGTGAATTTTTACAGTGAAATCACAGGATCTATAAAGACTTCTTTGAGCTGTAAGATCCTGTGTACTTCTACATTTCCCACAATTTAACTCTGGTTTTCTGCTGTGTGGTTCTGTGGTTAAACCAAGTGTGGTGACAACACACAGGATGGGGCAGGAAGAACATCTGGGAAAGGTCAGATCTGAGCCATATTACACAATCTTCTGATCCCCATGTTTTCTGTGCACAGTGTGTTCAGTTTAGTTACAAACTGGGTGTAGCAGAGTGTATAGTGTGAGCATGCACAGCCTCTTTGTTTCAATGCCATTTCTCCATGTTCATCAAAGCCATGTCCTTGTTGTTCAGGTCACTGAGGGGGAGGTTGGACCCTTCAGCTCAGTGAAAATCCCGGTGCTGTTTGTCCCAGCTGTCCCTGGGGACGTGAGGGCAGAGTTTGTGATCGTGTTTGACAACCCAGACTGCAAACCAGTGAGTGATTTTGTGAAAGACTTGCTTCAAAACACTGTGTGAAGAGTTGAAAATCTTCTGATCTGTGCTTTTGCCAGGAATTATGTAATAGGTGGTTTGATGGGAGGTAACTTTGTAAGTCCTGCCCTTCTTTCTGATGCAGGATGCTCATGATACCTCCTCTCTTAAATTTCTATGCAAATAATCCTGATATTCCCATTTTATCAGACATCATATTGGAAAACACCTCACGTCCTGGAAACAAATGTGGAAGTGTTCTCCCCTATTCCCAGTACATGTAGTTTATTTTCTTTCTGGTATATCAAAATTGGAATTATTTAGCAGGCAGTAGTGAAGCTGATGTGTGAAAGCTGGAAGAGATGACAACTTTAGTTACCACTTCAGCATATTTTGTTTCTAAGTTTCATTGGAAGCCAAATTCCGCTTGGAACAGTTCACAGAAGCTTGCCAAAAAAACAAAGACAAACTTCCCAGCAGCTCAGTAGCCAGTCTTGGCTCTCCCCTCAGTCTGCAGAAGGAGCTGCAGATTCCTGCTGAGGCTCCCGTGGGCACCTTCTCCTGCAGGCTCCCGTTGTGCAGGTCTGGGCTCTGTGGGCACTCAGGAAGCCCAGCCCTGTGCTGCTGGCACTGCACTGCTCTGCTGGCTGAAGGAGCTGCAGTCCCAGGGGTGCTGGACTGTGGCCAGTTCACTCCAGCTAAATGCACTTCAAACATTTCTGTGTCGGGGGCAGATGCTCTTCCTCCATGTTCTTTGTCAAAGAGTCCAAACCAAACTATAATTCCTTTTTTCTGCTGGACACCCTCCCATCTCAGGTTTCCTTTCCAGATGATTTCTGTAGATATGCCTCATTAAAGAACCTGTTGTAATATGACTAATGGAGTATTTTGCTCAGCTGTGGTTTGTAGCTGTGTGTAGGTCAGTGAGGATCTGGGGCTCCCAGAACTGACTCCCCTGTGGTTTGTGCCCTGCCAGCTGTGCTTCAGTGCCGTGGGGGTGTCCGTGGATGTGCCCCTCTGGGTGCCCAACCCCAATGTGGACCTCAAGATCTGCCTGTACGACCGCCTGTACCAGGACTGTGTGACCCTGCGGAGCAGGTGAGTGCCTTGGCATGGCCTTGGCATTCCAGGGGCACAGCCCTCTGAGTCCCACACTGCTGGAGATTGCACTTTGCTGTCCTGCTATCCCAGATTCCCGAGACCAGCCATAGCTATGGAGTCAATACACACCTTCCCACCCCTATAAGATTCTCTGTGTTGTTCCTGTTCTGTGGTGTAGCTGTGAAGTCCCCAGGGAATAGCAGCCCCACAGTCCCATCATGTGGAATTTGCTCCCTAAACATTAGGGATAAACATGTTTTAGACACATTTATTAGAGATAAATGTGTCTAAAACTAAGTGCACTTTGGGCATAATTGAGTCAGCCAGGAAATTTTATAAAATACTATTTTGTTGTTTCTCAGCTATTTTACCCTTAATTAAAGTCCCTGAGAGCTTTAGGAGACTGAGAGTCTTTCCAGGCTTGGGATACGATGTTGGATAAATCATGTCAGTCCTTTTGCATTTACTCTAAAATGGGAAGGATTCAGCTTTTCCTGACCCCTTCAGCAGTGCCCTGGACTGACAGAACCCCTGATTAGACAGTGACCAAATAGTGCCTTATAGGGGGAAAATATCTGAGTGTCTCTGAGCCCAAGCCAGTCATGTCTGAGGACTGGTTCTGTTTGCACTGTGATACAAAGAGAATGTTCCAGCTCCTTGGCTTCCAGAGATTATTAGAGTGGTTACATGAACATTTCTTTGTCTTCAGGTGCTGGGTGTCTTCCCCCGGCCCAGCACAGTCACTGTGGAGTTCTTATTTTAACAATTTGCATTTCTTAGAGTCTATTTCAATAGGCTTGGGGTGGGTTTGTGGGAGGGTGGGGGAGAGATTGGTTCTGTGGAAGGCATCCATGCTAAACCTCTTACCAGAATTACAGACTGCAGAGATTCTTCACAGTTGGAAAGAAATGAGTAAAGCTGTTATCTCAGAAATTCAGCTTACAGATATGACAAGCACAAGTTGTTATGTAAGTGATTTTACTTGGTCTAGATAACCCAGGGATAAAACTTATAAGTATAGAAGCAGAATAACTCTCCTAATAAAACTGAAGATTTCAAGGGGATCCCAAAGATAGAAGCTGTCAAATTGCTTAGGGCAAAACTTCTTAACTGAGGGAAAAAACCTGCTGATCCTGTGCCAAGTTTCACTAAATGAAGAGCATTTAATATGTAGTATCCTGTCCTGGGCACCTTGGCAAGTCAAGGCTTTGATTTATCACCCACTTCTCCCTCATGAGGAAAGACTGTCTGTTGTACAGTCACACAAACAGTATGTGTACAACACTGTCTGTTGTACAGTCAGCTGGGATGAAATTCCATGCACTTCATGTGCAGGAATGTCATGTATCAACTTTTTATCCTGCAAAAGTGGGCAGATTTCATCATTCTGTTGGGCCTGAGGAGCTCCTCCCTCTCGTAGCTGTTGACACTTTGCTGTGGCACCAGGAGGAGATTCCTGCCTGGGTCTCACTGTCTGTGACGTTGTCATCCATGGCAGAAGTGGAAGATGAAGTTTCCAAGGGACTCAGATACCTCTGGCACTGGAGTGCCCCAGCAAGCTCTGCTGGATTGCAAATTATTTGTTAATACTGGGTCTGTTCTGGGTTTTTGGGGCTTTTCTCTCTGGTCATACAGACCCCAGTAATGAAGCAGCACAAAGGGTGAAAGTGTCTTATCAGAATCCTGTTCAATAGAAATCACTTTGAAAAGTAATTTCTTGGGCAGGTTTATAATCTGCAGTGATTTAATGAAGTAGTATATAATTCTCTTAGATTTTCAACAGTCAGAAATCATTGCAGGCTCCCAGTCCCACATGCTGGAGCTGTTGATTTAGAGGAGACCATCTGGCCTGACAGCTTGGAAAGCAGTCCAGGGAAGGAGAATGACAGGCTGGAATATTTGTAAATTGCTCGGCAATTTTGCACTTAGGCATCAAATTCCAAACAGGGGCTGGGCCGTGGCTGTCGCTGGGCTGGGATAGAGCCACGATTCAGGAAACAGGGAGAGGTTTCCTGCTTCCAGTGTGCCACTGCTGGGGCAAATTGATCCCCAGGTTTAGCAGAGGAGCTGGCAGGACCAGCTCAGCCATGCTGTGACTTCCAACCCTGCAGGATCTCTGCTGTTAAAGGAGATGTTACAAGAGATCTGTGAATTCACATCTGTTTAAAGAAGTCACCAGGGTTCCAGTCATCCTATTGATCCAGATAGAGCCAGAGTGTGTTAGGAGCAAATAATTAGCTGATATTTCACAGTCACTTGGCTTTGACTCCCCCCTGACCTGACTTACCACTGTGCTGAGCTGGGATGGTTCAGTTTGGATCAGCTGTGTGTGCTGTTTGCAGTACAGCTGGCTTTGTTACAGTACTTCCCAAATCTTGTTTTCCCTACTTAAAAGAGAAACACGACTATGTGAACTTGCTGTAGCAGTTTTCCATGCCCTTCATTTTCAAAGGGAGCTTGGGATTGTTCTAATCACAGTGTGGAGGTGCAGGGGGTGTTGCTGAGGTGGCCCCAGAGCCACCCAGGCGCGTCTGATCTGTTTACAGAGCAACCACCACGCTGCGTTTCAAGTTTGAAGTGTGCAAAGAACTGAGCAAGCACCTGGAGCTGCTCCCAAGGACAGGCTACATCCAGGCTCAGTCAGCCTTCAGTGCACAGCTCAAGTTCCTGCCCAGGTAACCAACACCAACCCAAACAGGAACCTTCCCGGGTTTCAGATGATGCCAGTGGCAAAGCCAAGCAGAGTTGCTGTTCCTTCCCCCTGAGCAGGCTGGGCTCCCACTGCTGGTCACTGCAGGCCTGGGCTCCCTCCTCTCTGCTCCCAAAAGCTGCCAGATGCTCCGGGAGGAAATGAGCTTGGCTCCCATTCCGGGAGGCAATGCCTTCCCTGGGGGGCAGCAGTGGGAGAAGCGGAGCAGTCTCATTCCTGGTGGGCTGCTCCCGTTTCTGTGGGAAGTTATTCTGAGCCAGGAGAGAGCTTATTGAGGCAGGTGGCTGCTTCATGGATCACTGGTTAAATAATTTCTGGACAACAACTCCTGTGCTTGCTAAATAAGGTAAGAATGGTTGGGCTTCCTGTCCATCTCTCTCCTCCCCGTGCACATTTTACTCCAAAAGATGAAGGTATCGATCTTGAATTTCACGTGACATTTTATGTAACATCTCCTAATGCTAAAAGCTTTATCTCAGCAAGTTTCTCTTCTCCATTTCATGGTACATCTACATATACAAACATAACTCAGTGATAGGAAACAAGGAATTCCAGTTTTTAAAAATTTAAAGGCCAGAGCTTTTGTTAACCACTGTTAATTTTATTTACCTCGTCATTGCCATCCTAAGGAATTTAGTGGGACATTTCTTTTCACATAGAAATGTAAATGAAAAATGGAATTAATTCTGGTGTACAGCCAAATACTTCAGCAGCTTTGGCAGTGATTGCTGCTGCAAACCTGCTGCTGCTTTGATGTAGGTTTTCCAGTCCCATTGATGTATTTTGGATTCTCACTGATGTGCTCAGCATTTCTGGGTTCTGCATTGAGAGTCTAATCACTGATTTCAAAATTTTCACCAGGTTAGTATTCAAAGAACTAAAAGTATTTACAGTTCTCCCAACATCTCAAATCCCCTCAGATTACAACAACTGTAACATGATGACATATTTGAGTTCCTCAGCTTCATCTGCTCTAAGCACTGTTACCCTCTCGGAGTGGATAGAAACCAGAGCTTGGATTTAGAACCTTAATCTTCCTTTAAAAAACGGGGAAGCTTCAGAAAGGAGATTTGATGAGATTAAGGCATTTCTGACACACAAAATAAGTATCTGGCTGTTTGAGGGGACAGATCACTTAAAGACCTAATGCAGGGAGGAAGTGCGTGCGTGGGGAGCACGATGAGCTGGGGAAGGACTGAGCCAGTGACACATTTCCGTGAGGCCTCCTCAGTGATTTGGCATTATGAGCTCTATTAATAGAACAGCTGCATTAAAAGTGACACCAAAGTGAAGAGAAACCCCCACTCAGCAGTGCCAGCAGCACACAGCTGGCTGGAGGCTTGGGAAGTTCTCCCCAGTGTTCTGTGCACATGGACCTGCTCAGGCAGGTGTTCCAATACTCACCTCTCTGGGGGTTTGAAGCCAGCATTTTCTGTTTAGGCAAGTTCCATGCCATGTCAGAGAACTGTCTGAAGGATTTCAGGCCCTTTTCCCCAGGGCACAGCAGCTAATTGAGAGTCCACTCCTGTCTCCATACAGTCACAATTATTTTTCCCCCTCTGGATTATTTTGAAATAGATTGATTTCTCCTGCTCTTCCAATGTCCTGTGACTAAGTGGAAGCTGGTGCTGTGTTCCTCCCTTGTATATAACCCCAGTTCCCATCTGTAAAGAAGTTACCAATACCTTTGAACATCAGCCTTATTGCAAAATAACAGCAGCTAGATTTTGGATCACCATGGTGATGAGTGGGTGTTATTTTTATTCATTACCTGTTCTTTAACAATACATCAAAGAATTGCATGTAATTCCATGAGTAGTAGTAGAACATGAGCACTGTGGAGACCCAGGAACAGGAAACAACTCACTCTGGTGCTGTGAGTCACTATAAATAGAGCAGCAGAGCTAAAAATGCTCCAGGTTTGTATTGTCTTGGCTTGGAGCTCTGAAATGGAGCTTGTGAGAGCAAGATGCTTCACCTACAGAAAACCTGCATGTTCCTTACAAAATTCCTGCTCTGGTCTGTAACCAGGCCCTGCTGGGCTCCAAAGGAGCTCCCTTTGTTTCTCTGGGCTGTACAAGTGGCTGTGCCTCAGCCAGGCTGCTCACTGGCAGCAGTGCCCACAGGAAACCCTGCCTGCTTGGGCTGGGCACACCCTGAGCCTGCAGCAAAGATGCACAGGGTTTATATTCTGATTAGAGAGTAAGCTTTTAATTTTTCAGAATTTTAAATTACTGGATGGCTTTTTAAAAAAAAAAGGATAAATGGATGCTGACCTCAGTGACCTCCCTTAAAATCCTGTACGTCCAAAATCCTGTCTTTAAAATCAAAAAAACCCCAATGTTACTGTACAAGGTCAATCCATCTGATGTCCCTGGCAGCCACCTTTCAGCCCCTGTGCTCCTGCTCAGAGTGGGTGCCAGTCTGTGGGAAATCTGGGACAAGTCCAGAACATTCCTGACCTGACTGCATCCTCATTGTCTTGGTCAGAAGGTGGGACTTCAGAGGTCACTAATTTTTGATTGGAATTTTCTCCTACCATTCTTCTTTCATTTTCCTTAACGCTTGCACATATCTTCCATGCAAGATTTTAATTAGACTTCCCTACACAGGAGGATTCGAGGAGGATTAAATTAAGATTAAGCTAAGATTAAAAATTGTGAATAATAAAACTTTTAGACCTTAAGTAACAGGTTTGGGTTTGTTTTTCTTTCTGTTGAGAAATAATCCATCAGAAGTTTCTTATTCCCCTCAGTGAGAAAATAACCACAATATTTTAATGACACTGACTGTACTTTTGGGTTTTCAGGCAGTCTCTTCCTGAAGATGCAGGGAACTATTTCGATGCAGAGACAAGAATCCTGGAGGTCCCAGTGACAATAGTGATCGTGGACAAGGTGCTGTGTGTGATGCTCCTTATCAGACTGGCAGTGAATGTCAATTATTCTGGTGAAGGGCCACTTAACCCTACCTAACCTTACATTGGTTCTTTACTACTTGAAGTTTGATAACAGTAGAAGATGCCCAAAGTGCTAATAGAGATTTGATAGTGGCTTCTTGTCACGTGGTTGCAACACAGAAAGTCCAATCCCTCCTAGTCAGTGCTCCTCTCACATGGCACTGGCAAGGAACAGAGCAGAAGAACTGGTTTGCAGTTATCCTTTTGGGTGACATTTCACTTAAATCCTGTCCTTACACCCCACAGGGGGAGGTTTTCATCTTGTGCTCTTGCATTTGTTTCAGGCTAGAACAGTCAATTTTACTGTCCATGCCATTGTCTCTACTTCTGATCTGGAAATCAGCCCAGCAGAGATCAACTTTGGGCACTGCACCATCTATGAAGCTGTGCAGGCCAGTGTCACGGTGACAAACAAATGCATCTTGCCACAGGAGTTTGGATTTGTGGGGCTGCCAGAGGTATGTGGTTATCCCACACACTCCTCTTCTGCTGTCAAAAGAGATTTCAGGATCCTGGGAATGTGTGTCAATGGGAGAGTAAATAAATCAGGACTGGTGGGTGCAAATGCTGGGGAAGCCCCTGGGCTGGTTCTGGGCTGGTTTGGGTGAATCCCACTATGTTACACCCCCTGCCTTTTCCAAGCAGTGTAAACACTGGGAGGAGGTTTTACTGTTCCTTTACTAGAACACCTGGTTTTTCACACCAAGAAGGCTCCTGACAGAGCACCTGGTGCTCACTGGGCACGTGTAAAACAGGCTGGGGGATGTGGCTGTGCCCAACTGGCACCCAAATGCCCAAAGGCTTTGTCTTTAAAGCAGGATGGCTTCTAAGCCATGCCCAGACCGCCCCTTGGGGACAATCCTGAGCCACTCCTGGGCACTTTCTGACTGACTGTAAGTGGATGTGGAAGCCAAATTAATCACAGGAGCTGCTGGTTTCGTGTGGGCTGGGCCTGCTGAAGTATTTTTTGCACAAAGTTGGCTGTTCAAGCTCCATAATAGCAGGATGATCACAGTGTGAAATGGTTTGGCACACTGGCATCAGAGTTAGAGGAACCTGACATTTAATTAGGCATTCTCCTGTTCTCTGCTGGTTTAGGGATTAAAATCAAGGAGGGAGCTGAAGGAAATTGTTAACTTCAGCTCTGTGAAAGCTTTGCTTCACAGTGTGTGTTTCCTGGTGAGCTTAAAGTGGGATGGGGAGACATTCTTGAATCATCTTCAACTCTAACACAAACCACTGTACAAGTGTGGGAATTAAACTGGCCCTGTCACTGGGGAATCTGCTCCTCAAACAGGGATCAGCTCTCACAGACAGGGGAACTGCTGAGATTTTTATCAGATTTCATTCAGTTGTCTATGAAGAGTAAATAAACACTAGAGAAGGGTGATTACCATAGAAGGGAAGAAGCTGGGGAAGGGATTCTCCTGAAGTCTGAGTTAATGGATTTAATCCCTTTTGAGTTACTGAGAGGAGAAATCTGCATTTCAATCAGACTCATCAGGAACTCAGATCAAAGCTTCTCTCTAGAAGGTTTCTCTTTTCTTGACACTTCCACATATAATAACAAAATTTTCTTAACCTTACCAGTAATGTCTCATTTTAATTTATTAATAAACTGATAATTTAACTAATAACTTCTTATTCTGCCATTTTGAAGTTTGTTGAAGTTCAACCCAACGATGGATTTGGAGTTATTCTTCCCCTGGAGAGCCTGACATTGGACATAATCTTTAAAGCTACCAAGGCAAAAGAGTACAGCTTTGACCTCACCTGCACCACAGAGATTAACAGGTATGGGAAGAGACTGAATACAGGTGATGTGGAAACCTAAATCACAGTGGATTCCCACTGTTAAGCTACTCCAGAAATTAGAGCCCTGCCTGCTTTGAGGAGGAAAGTCTGGGATAAGCACGTGAGGCCAGTGGGAATTCTCCAGTTGACAGGAGTTGCTCGGTGCCTGTTGGTTTCCCCCTTGGCTGACACATTTGTCTTTACTCAGTTGACTTTTCCTACCCCTCCTCAAGTTGATCCTTGTCCAATTTCCAAGCTCCCAGGTCAGCCCAACCTGCAGAACCACTGAAGAAATTCTGTTTTGTACAAATGCTTCGTGCATTAAGCTCGTGCTGCTGCAATAATGATGGCATAAACTTTGATTTGACTGGATGTGTTTCCAGAAGTTCACAGAGGAAGAATTCAAGCAGGGACTCTGGCCAATTGTGCATTAAAAATAGATAGTATTATTGTTCATCTTTAGGCAAAATTCCCATTGCAAGCTTGAAATTCTGCTTAAATAGGGACTACAGGATTAGCTCCCTATTTTCCGGGCTGATTAAGACACTATTTTATGCTGAGACAATTTATCATGTGTTTATTTTTAGACAATTCAAGCTGTCATGCAAAGCAGTTAGAGTCCACCCACCTCTTGAATTGTCTCATTCCTTGGTTCAGTTTGCTGCAACAGCTCTGAACTCTGTGTCTGAAGCCACCCTGGACGTGCTGAATCCCCACGTGAGTGGGAACAGCCTCATCCACGCTGTCCCTCGGATTGGAAATGGGGAACCTGCCCCAGTTGGACCCACTTCCTTTGAATTCCATGTGCCAGAGGATTGTCCCGTGACAATTACACCTTCTGTGGGAACTGTGCTGCCTGGGCAGGTAAATTCACTTTAAATGTCAAGTGTTCTGCCAAATCTTTGATCATCACGTCTCCACAAAGGCTGTCACCTGTAAATGAAGCTCAAAACGTGGATTATTATTAGAATAACCGGAATATTTTGTATTGTTTGAAATAATGTTTTATATCAGACCTGAGGGTGAACCACCAAATCTGTCTAAAACCTTATGGGAGTGTTCACATTTCCCCAGTCTTATCACTGGGATTTATTTGAAGAATGTTTAAATATCAAAAGTACTGGTCATGTAAACCCAGCCCACTGTGACATCCTGGGCTCCCAAAAGAGCTGTGAGTGACCTGATCCTGAGGATCCTCTGATTCACCAGGGGGAAAGTGTATTTTGTGTGTGACTCTTGTGCTCTGTGTGTGCTCCCTGGGGCTCTGTGGTGAGGGCTGAGCTGTGCCCTCCACCCCTGCTGTGCTCTCCCATTCCCAGAAAAGCTCCATCCGAGTGTCCTTCAGCCCCACACTGCCGGAGCAGCTCGTCAGGGAGGAGGCAGCTCGCAGGCTGAGCAGAGCAGCTGTGCCAGAGGCAGGAATTCAAGTAAGGAATGCTAAGAACAGCACATGCTGCTGGTCTGGCACTTCCAGAGATTTGTTTCTCTGGGTGGTATTTTTATCATAAAATTATTTGCATATTAATGAGGCCCAGGCTCGTGGTCCGGGCAGGACCTGCCTGCAGAGGACGAGGGGGGGACTGTGCTGTGGCACTGAACGTGCAGCCACCTCACTGAGCAGCAATTTCATTTCCTGCTCACCACTTCCAAAGCATTCCTAGAGGATTTTATGGCAAATGCCAACTGCAATACTCTTAAAAAAAAAAAAGAGGCTTCTACACTGCTTGCAGATTTACAGCATCCTGGGACTTTATGTGCAACCCTTGGGTCAGTTCATTTGTGACCCCCTGTGGCTGTCTTTAGTTATGAGATAAACGGGTAAAATTCCCATAAGATACAGAACCCCTCTCTTAAAAGGGGGTAAAATATGTCCATTTTAACTTAATTTTACATTATTGGAACTGTCTGTAAATCTGGAAATGTCTGTGGGCTGTCACCGTAGTCCTGCTGTCCCTTGTTCTGTGCCCTCTGTCACCTCCTTGGCTCTGTGGCCTTGGGCTGTGTCTTTGTTAACTCCTGTCTTGGGCAGATTCCCAGTGGTGACCCTCAGGGTCTGATGGACAAAGAGAAGAAAAATGAAAAGAGAGAGGGAAAGAAATTGAGCATTTCTATCCCCAAAGAGCCTGGGAATAATGGAGGCAGGAAGAGCCTGACTGGAGAGCCAAAACCTGAAGAGTTAAAGCCTGAGTAAGTCAGCAAAAGCATCTTGTACTACACAGACAACATTCTCTTTATAAGTAGTTTAATAAATCTACTAAAGCTGTAGGTAGACAAGAAAGCAAACTGGAGAGGGAGCAGCTTTAGCTGTGTTGCAGAGGCTGTTTCCAAAATTAGTGCTGCTTGAGAGCCACACAGCTGTACCCTCTCATGTGAGGCAAAGAATCCCTTTATGCATCAGAAGGATTGAAGACTTCAAAGAATCTGTCAGGGAGCAGGAGCTGGGGCTGAGCGTGGCTCGGGCTGAGCCTACACAGGGTTTGTTTAAAGGGCAACTGCAGAGCTGGACTTGGTGACCCACAGAAACAGCCACCAACACACCTTTTGTGAACAGACCTGACAGAACCATGTGATGGCCCAAATGCACAGCGTGGAGCACTGCTGGGTTTAACTGGAGGCTTTGCAGAGCCTGTGCCATCAGTCACAGTCATCTTCATCACAGAAATGCTGCTGGGAAATGTGCTTTGGGACAGTCTCTGTCCCGGGTGTGCACCTCAGTGAGCACTGGCAGCATGTGCTGCCTGCAAATTTGGGTTCTTAGATGCAAAATCTGATACTCGAGGTCCCTGGTTTAGCAAATAATTCAACTTCTCAGAGCCACATTTCTGCCTAATCTGAGGAATTTGGAAGTAAATACATAGTGAAGCACCAGGGATTTGGCTGTACTGGATGTATTGATATTTTTGACTAAAATCTCATGTTGATTGCAATCCAGTAATTATAGTTTTTAAATACTTTCAGTAGAGGTCATAAAACAAAGTTCCTGTTTAAAAGTATTGTTCACATATTGGACTAGAGGGATGTGATCCTGTGTGTTTCCATGTCATTGAGGTGACATAGAAGGACTGGAAGACACTGGAATACTTGATGTATTCAAGCAAAGGAAACTGTATTGAGGATTTTGCAGTCTTTAGTATAACATCTGCTATCTGGGTTTATAGTTTTTATTCTCTTTTGGCAATAAAAGCCAACCACTTTGTAGGGTGGGCCCATAACTGACAGTCATTTGGTTTCACTGTTACATCCAATTTTGAATGTGTGACTAAGAAACAATAATCACAAGTAGCTCAGTAGATATTTATTTGATGTTTTTCTTGCTCTCTCACTCACTGAGATGATTCTTATTCCTGGATTCTCTAGTTCTGATGCTTACAGGGCAGCCCAGGCCTCCCTGATGAGGAGTTTCAGTGGGAGTTTTAAGAAATACATCATTCCCTGCTTTGTTGCAAGTGGACAGGCTGCTGGAGAGAAGGGCTCTGGACCCCTGAGCTGCAGGTATTGGAAGTGATAGTCCAGAAATGCTGGGGGGAAATGGTGGTGATTTATTCCCTTGGGGGAGAAGTTTGTTTTCTGATCTTGGTGACTTCATAGCTCAGCGGTAGGAGCTCGTGCTCACAGCCCACCACTTGGATAAGAATCAAAGACACGAATATCAAAGCAGCTCAAAGAATAATTGTGTGAGAATTTGAAGCCAGATAGTTCATGGCTCTGCCTGGGCACAGAGTGAGCACCAGGAGTCACGTGTGGTGCTGTCACAGCCCTGCAGTCACAGCCTGGGAGATGAGCTGATTTCTGGCTGGAGTTCTTATTTCTCAGCGATCCAAGAGCTCTGCCCTTTTACTCCCTGGCTCCCTTTCCTCTCTCTCCAGCCCTTACAACACGTTGTACCTGGAGCTGCACTGTCCAGCCGTGGCCCCTCCTGTTCTGGTCACTTCAGACAGCGGGGACAACATGGTCGAGTTTGGAGATGTTTCTGTAGGTATGGAGCCTGAATTCCAGGGCTGAGTGGGTTCTGTCTGACAGGAGGGTCCTCTGAGCATAGTTTTGGGGTTTCCAAAGTCAGGATAGAAATTAGCCCTTAATGGGCACTTGGGTGGAAAACGAGGAGCCTGTCTGGCCAGCTGGGGCCCAGCAAACAGCAGCCTTGGTCCCAGGCAGGGAATTGGGAGCTCGACAACTTTGAAAGCATTTTGGTGAGCTTGGCCTGGTGCCTTAGCCAAGGACAGGGAACGAGTGTCTGGCCCGGGGAAGAGCAGGAGTGAGGAGGAGGAATGGGAGGGCAGGACTGAACATCATCACTTCTGGAGCTGTTTTCATTCCTGACAGGCCACAGGACCATGAAGCGAGTTACCCTGCAGAACATCTCCCCAGGGAGGGTGAGGGTATCCTTGTGTGGGACATGGAGCTCCCCTGCCATCCAGCCTCTGCCTCATCCTCTTCCTCTGCAGGGGGACCTGGTGGACACTGAAGCATCAGCTTCACCTTCTCTGAGTTACTGATCTCTCAGAAGCTCAGAGATGGTTAGTTCAGACTGAAGACACATAAACAATGTGTAGAGTCTGTTCTTACATATTTTTGCTCAATCTTTATGAATGTTTTTCCTTGAGTTGCACCCTTTTAGCTGGGATTCTCAGCTCTGAATCCCAACGGCCCCTTCCTGTTGGTGAGAGCAGTTGGAATGCTTGAGCCAGGTGAAAGTAAAGCCCTGGTCATCTCCTTTTGTCCAGATGAGGATAAATGGGTGAGTAGGAGATACAACAGCAATGGGGGGAAGGAGGAGAGAGATATGAGGGGTGTGTAACTCACGTGTTACCAACCAGGATGAGACTCTAAATAATGAGAAAACCTTTGCTGCCCCTCCCAACATTTGGGTTTAGTGTCTGTGCACTCACCCCAGGAGTTCTGTAATGGTCCATTTGTGGGAGGGGGTCTGTTGGAGGGGTGAGAGGTTTCCTTCAGCAGATGGAATAACCCAGACATTCCTCCTGGCAGTTCTGTGAGACCCTGGACATCAGGGTGGCCAATTCCACCCTCAGCCTGCGCCTGTCTGGGCACGGGGTGGTGCCAGGCACTGTCTGCTCTGTGGAAGGAGTGCTGGACATGGGATATGTCATGGCTGGGGAACAGGTGACTTCCACAGTCCAGGTGAGTCCCTCTGTGCCGAGCCGGGAAGCGCGTCAGGAATAGGGAGGAAGTGGACATGAGTTGTCTCCTCTCAGATTTTGTCCAAGTCTGGCAATGACCAAAATCATTGATGGGAGACACTTCAGAGGAGCCTGGTCCTGCTGGGGTGGGGGTTGGTGTGACACGTTTTGGGCAGCACTGATGTGTGTCCTCAGTAGCATCTGGGGACACAGAGCTGCAGCAGTGCAGCAACATCAGTGCAGCCAGTCTGCCAGCTATGGACCCTCCAGGCCTGAGAATCCATTTCCCTGATGCCACTGCTGTGTGTGAATGAATGTCCCCAGGTCCAGAACACCTCCAGCCTGGCCCTGCCCTTCTGCACCCAGCTGGACTCGCTGTCACCCACCTGGGACAGGGACCGGCAGAACATCCCGGCCTTCCTCAGCTCCTCTGGGCAGAGAACAGAGTTTGTTGGTAAACTTGGGTCTTTCCTTCCTCTTTTTCCTTTGCTGAAGACTCAGGCAGTGTAAAGCAGCACTGCTCTGTCCTGCTGGATCTGCCCCTGTCAGACCTGGGGCATCACAGCTTTGAAATTAAAGCCCTGGTTTTGCTCCCCAGTAGGAGCTGTACTGATTCTTACAATATGGGCAGCTGTAAATTTATGCAGCCTCAGCAAATACCCACGAGGAAAGAGATATTAGTGTTTAAATAAACCCACACAGTAATTGCCTATTACAGATTATACTTAGGGGTGTCCATCTCTGTGAAAACACGTCAGAATATAGGAAGGGTTTGGTGATGCTGCTTCAGCTCCTCTGGAGATGAATTTATCAAACTGATGGATGGAGTTATCTGGTGTTTCTAACACCCTCTTTTGCTGCAAAGCCATGTATCAGCTCTTATTTATTCACTGTTCCAACAAAAATTAAATGGGTTTAAAATTTATGAAGAGGTAAGATGGAGCTGTCCTCCTTTCTTATCTGTACCCTCATTTTTGTTTACCAGGAACACAGAACTACAGTGGCTTAAGTGTGTTCAGTGTCTTTCCAACAGAGGGGGAAATCGAGGCTGGGAAGAGCCAGGAGTTTGTTGTTACCTTCAGCCCTGACCATGAGAGTCTGTACTACTCCGACCGCCTGCGGGTCGTGCTCTTTGGCAAGGTGAGACCTCCTGGGTTATGGGAGCAAAGTCTGAATGTTCCTGACCCGGAATAGGGAGGGGAGGGCGGGTCTGGGGCCCGCTGACCCTTCTCAGGTTTGGACATTCAGTCACGGATTGACAACAACAGCGACTCGGAGTTCGGCCCCGTCCCCTCCCCGCTGCAGTGGGGGGTGAGCGCCGGGCACAGCTCCGGGCACAGCTCCGGGCACAGCTCCGGGCGGGTCCCTGCAGGGACGGTCCATGGCAGGGGCAGGCAGGGCTGGCAGGGGCTGACAGGTGCAGGGAGCCCCAGGGAGCGGCCGGAGCGGCGGCCAGGGCCGAGGCTCCATCTGCGGAGCAGCCCGGGATGCACCTCCGGAGGGGCAGGTGGAGGCACCGCGGGCACCCCGAGCCCTGCCAGGACACGGGGGCCAACAGCGAGGGCAGAGTGACCACTAATGCCCGGCAGCAGCACTGCAGACAGGGCAGGGCTGGCAGGGACTGCTCCTCTCCGCGGGGTTTGTGTCTCCAGAGACCTTGGGGATTGTCACTGGGAATGCAAACCCGAGCCAGCTGAAGTTGGAGACTGGTCCTGGCTCACGAACCTCAGCCAGGTTTGCAACAGAGAAGTTTTGCTCTTTTTGGTGGCGTTTGTATAAAGAATTCATGCAGCCCCTCCTGGGGCACAGTGCCCAGAGTGGAGGGTCCAGGTGGGCAGGGCAGGGCTCCTGCACTGGGGATGTTCTTGGCCTGGATCACTCCATAGGAGGGGTGCCATGATTTCCATGCCCCTGGTGCTGCTGTGGCATGGAATTGTCACTCCACTGAGCTCCAGCTGCATCCCAGGCTCTGTGTCCCCCCAGCAAACAGCCCACGAGATCCCCCTGCGGGGAGCAGCGCGGGAACACCCCATGTTTGTGGAGGGGGGACTTCCCCTGGACGTGCCCGTGGAGTCCTTGGCTGTAACACCATCTGTGCCATCACAGGAAGCACTGCCAGCAGGTAAAGTGCCACCACTGACACCCTGTCACAGAGCAGGGAGTGAGGAGACATGGGAATGCTCCTCCTCCTTTAAGAAAAAGGCAATTAGGAGACAATTTTCCCAGAATCAGAACAAATGAGCATTTTGGTACAGCCTGTGTTTGTAACACACACAAAAATGCAGGAAACTTTCTCTTGAGGAAAGTTCTGTCCTAATTTTAATGCAGTTGTATCTTAATGATGATCATCCACCTCTGCAACTTACTTGCAAAAAAGGATTATAATGTAACACTGCTACAAAGTTATTAGATGTGTTTGCTCTCTGCCGCTTCTCTGGAGTGTTTTAAGTGTCTAGAAAATTGTTTCATGTATAACCAGATATCCTGGACTCTCCCATTTGTCCTGTTACAAAAGAGACACACTTTCAGGGTTTTGAAGTGATCCTTCCTTAACTTCTGTGGACAGGATCTGTGTTCAGGGGCAGGGTGTGAGCAACCCCTGACTCCTGAGGTAGAGATAAGTGGAAGCACATGCAGACTTATGGAATCTGGTGCACAGAGGTGTGTGCCATGGGCTGCAAAACCAGCGTGGAACTTGATAAACAAGCAACAACTGCAGTTTGCAATTGCAAATAATGCAAAACCTCCTTTTCCTGAACTCCTGCCTGGCTCTGTCAGAAGGATCTCCCTGTCAGTGCCAG